TTACTTCCTTCTGCGATTTTTATATAAAATAGCTAGCTTACATTTCGAAATAATTTTTCATAGTCGTTGGAATTTAACCTGGCATTAAAGATGCAAAGACTTGTAGAAAACTTCTACACTTCTATATCTTACTAATATTATAAATGCGAATGTTTGGATGGATGGATGTTTGTTTGAAAGTATCTAGAGAACGGCTGTAAGGATCTAGTTGAAATTTTGCTTTATTTTTAGTTTAGTTGTAGAACATGGTCTGGATGAACACATAGGCTACTATTTTTTTTATTCCACGCGGAATGATTTGCGGGCGACAGCTAGTCTCTTCATAATTGATTTCTTATGAATTATAAGTCATCTTTTGAATTTCGAAAAAACATGATTTTTTTTTTAATCTGTGCTCATGTCAATTTCTAATTATTGACTGTCATCGCATGAGTTTGACATAACGTACAAATTCTTGCGATGGCACGTAACAACTTGTGAATGGAATGCCTTACAAAAAGCGTGACGTTATCGATGTACGTAACTACGTTATGAAATGGTCACCAAGCTGCCAATGTCGGTCAATGCTGGCGTGTTGACACCTAGCTGTAGCAAAATGAGTCGTAATTCTCAAACAGAAAATATTGGTCTTAAACTAAATTTATGTGAAAACTAGCTGTTGGCCGCGATTTCGTCCACGAATAATTAAAGAAATACTATCGCTTTTACAAATTTCACATTGTAACAAACATCCATCCATCTAAACTTTCGCATTAATAATATAAGTAAGGCTAGCTCACGTGACTGAATCCTCGCGGAATCCAAAATAAACTTAATTAGTAACCTATGTGTTCTTCCAAACTATGTGCTATAACTATACCAAGTTCAGGAGATACGTAAACAAACATCCATCCGTTTTTCACATTAGTATTTTTCAATTTCCAATGTAAGATTACTAGTGGCATCGCTGTAGAATCTATTTGCAAAGCTAATCTTAATGAACAAACAAACAAAACCACATTAAGGCTAAAGTAACAGTCAAGCCCAAAGTGGCCAAACCCCGGAAAAGATAAGATGCGATAAAATCAACATCACACACACGCGCGCGCACACACATGCATACACACGCACATATACAACAATGCACATACTGTCTAGAGGTTTTGCTATCTTGAATTATCCTCTTAAAGATATAATATATCGAAAAAATTGTGAATCTGTGATGACTAATACAAAGTTTATTATCGCCCTCGACGACGTCAGCGCAGAATTTAAAACAAAACATAAAACAGACATACAGACAAAATTATTTAAAATTGAAAATTGGTTCGTTCATGATTCTAGACACAACGTTATAATTAAAATGATTAGATTTAGTAAGCCATGAAAGTTAGCTATATTCTCACTACGACTAGTACAAAAATCAAAGAATATGTTTTAATAATTAATTTAAAATTTTATCACATAGCCAGTTTTAAAGAACATTTTTAGTCAACATAAGTCAATGAAACTAGATTACATAATAAAAATAATATTTTTTTTTACAAATACACGGAAGATTTAGTAATAAATTAACACAATTTGAAAACAAATATCACTAAAAAATACGTTGTTTGTTTTATATTTTACAATCCGAATACTAAATACATTGCAATCCCAAATTCAATAAGCGTAATGCGAACAAAAGATTCCCTTTAAAATGGAAAACATTATTCAATTTAGTTGATTTTCTATAATTAATATTATGCGCCAGTGCAATAAAGCTTTGCTTTAATATAAAATTGTTTCTTAATCTAAGGTTGTTTTCGCACTATCGAATTTATAGGTCAATGTACAGTGTGTTAAGTCAACTAGAGACTCATCATAATTAAAAAAAAACTAACAGACCGAAAAGTTCGCTTCAACCTGTTTTTTACAAGTGGAATTTTAGTAGCGCGAAATGTAAAGGACCAAATCTTTTCGGTCCGACTATCGGCTCGTCAAGGTCAGTCACTGGTTTCTGCCATTCGTTGTAATAAGAGGCTTCTCCATGGTTGTGTTGCGCGTGCGCATAATACACGTCTCTTTAATCTTTTTTAATATGATTTAAATATGTTTTATAATAATCAAAGTGTATTAACCATGGTCTTAAATGTGTCTAAATTTGTGGCAAAAATGACAACTAAGTGTAATGCAATTCCAAACAAAGTATATACAAATAAAATATCTGTTTAGTGATTTTTTTTGTTTTAAACGATGCTGAGACGACAGTTATCGCATGAGTCCGGTAAAACCGCTCTCATCAGAGCACATGAGGAATATTTAGATAGACGGTAAGTTTCCGTATAGTTTTATTTATGTAGGAAACAAAACGTAAAGTACTTACATAGTTTATTTCCTCACACAGAGTTGTAAGTGTACTTAAGCTGCCAGAGTAGATTTCTCTTACTAAAACTACATATGACACCGGTTGCTGACTAGACTTGTTATTGTCGCCAGCGACTCCGTCCGCGCTGTATTAAAAGAAAATAAAATTAGTAGCCTATGTGTTCTTCCAGACTATGTTCTACATCTGTGCCAAATTTCATCAAGATCCGTTGAGCCGTTGTGGAGATAACCTTAAACAAACATGCAATCTAAACTTACGCATTTATAATATAAGTAAGACGTAAGATTAGTAGATATTTAAAATATTTTAAATGAATCTGTCACTAATTTCATCGTCATCAGCTCACTATATGTCCCCACCGTGGGGCTAGGAGCCTACCCTAAGTTAAGGGTGACTAGGCCATAGTCAACCACGCTGGCCAAGTGCGGGTTGGTTGACTTTACACATATCTTTGAATTTATTCACAGATATGTGCAGGTTGCATCACGATGTTTTCCTTCACCGTAATTAATTTATTAGAATCATTTTTTTATCATATCACAAAAGTCTACTTTGTCTTAGTTTAAAAACAAAAGCTTCGATAAATTTCTGAAAAATTGGAAAATCATTAACGTTATTGATTACACTAGTTTATCGAACTACTTATGTTCTTATCGTGCAATGCAATAGACAGGGAGTATACTAACGTATAAATACGTATACGTTACGACCGTATAATAAGAACGTCATCGTCAGCTCATATATAATGTCCCTAGCGAGAGGCTCAGAGCATACCCAAATAAGGGTGACTAGGCCATAGTTAATCTCACTGACTCAATGAGGGTTGATTTCAAATAATATCTATGAATTTCATAGTAGATCAGTGCAGGTTGCATCACGATGTTCTTCACCGTAATAACGACGGATTTAATACATATAAAATTTCGAAAATTCAAAATATCATTGGTATATGTCTGGGATCGAACCTGGACGTGTAGATTTCGGTTTGATCCGGTCAAGTGCCACCGACGCTCCTAATAATATAAGAAATCTTTGACAAATAAATGGCTTTGGCGTACGACCGAAATAATCTGGAATAATGCGTTTAATTTTATAGTAAGGAAATGATTTAAAGTTACGTTATTTTGCATTTACTTCTTGGATCGTAAAAAATAAATAATCACATTGTGTTCGCTGTACAACTGTTTGTTTTTCCACTAAGAATATAAATAAAAGTTACAATTTATGGAAATTTTACAAGTAACTGTTAATTGAATTTTGACCATATTTTTATATTTATTTATCTAATACTAGCTGTCGCCCGCGACTACGTCTGCGCTTAATAAAAAAAATAATAAGTAGCCTATGTGTTCCGTCAGATTATGATCTATATGTATACCAAATTTCATCGACATTCGTTCAACCGTTCTGGAGATACCTTCAAACAAACATCCATCCAAAAAATCGCATTTAAAATATTAGTAAGATGGTTAAAATCAGTAGCTAAATATTCAGTTTTAGGTAAAGATCTAGAATGTTTGTTTTTAATTAGTTTTTTTTAGATTATATTCGTAAAAGGTCATTTGCATCCAAAAACGGTATAAAAGTAGCATTATTGTAAATTCATTAGCAAGGTCATACAGGTTAATACAAAACTTTGTTCACGTACCTACCTCGTTCCCAATGTATACAGGATGATCCAAATTGTAATTTTTTATATTATAAGGTGGCATAAACGCAAGCTGTTCGCCGAAATAGTGAAACAAATGCTGTCCATAGCCATCCGCAATTGCAGATGTGTTGCCGACCTTTTAATCGACGGAGGAAGGGACGCACAGAAAGATACTCGTAATATTTATCTTTCCTATGCGTCCCTACCTCCGTCAAATCTACTTCACCTCTCCCTTCCAGGAAGCGAAAAAGGGCAAAAATCAGGCCTCCGGTACCAAACTGTGCTAAGATAATTTAACTATTTTTGTCTAAATGCGCATACCTCAAGAACATAAATTATTGAAAATACATGAATAATGTCAAATGTTTAAAAAAAACATCAAATATCGTAGCCCAAGTAAATTATATAAAAACGCAATGAATATTTTTCCATGCACAAACCTTCTCTAGCGCCCTTAGAATGCATGCAATAAGCTTTTAATTTACCTACAAATGCCTTAAATCATTTAATACTGGTACAAACAACCTGTATTTACTTTTTAATTCAATGAATATATTATGAATGCGGACGCCATTTTATTTGGCTTGTCATTTATAAACAAAGTCTATGATGTGTACGGTCGCGTTATGAATTGGATACGTTCAGGTATTTTCGGAATTTAATTTTTAATTAAGCAATTTAAAATATTGCTATCCCTTTCATTCTTATTGGAAAAATAGAGATGATATGTTATTAAACAGTTTCAATAGTGGAAATTCAGTCATAAAGAGTTGATTAATATCTTTATTGCATACTAGCGGTCGCTCGCGACTTCGTCAGGGCATGATTGTTTTTTTATATTATTATATAATGTATAGATGTTTCAATCTATAACAAATCTACGTTATTTTTAGTCATTAATTTGAAACTAACAAACAAAAAATACCTCGTTAAGTTAGTATTTAGAATAATGGTAATCTTAGTACGTGTGTAAAATAACATTGTACGATATTCTTGTTGCAGGAGGACCAGATCTCTGAACGCACCATCTCCCATCCAGCAGTTTGGACCATGTGGCAGGATAATGAAGAACTCGGCAATGGTTATGTATGTTATTTCCATCATGTTGTTTTTAGGATTCCGTACCTTGTAAGGAAAAAAACGCAATCCTTATAACATGACTTTGTTGTCCGTCCGTGTGTCTGTCAAGACACTTTTTTAATTATAAGACTAATTTGACATACAGTACCGAAACGAAACAATAATACTTACATACATAAGCAAAACTGTAGAATTTTTCGTTTTAGGAAAAGATTTATAAATATTCTTTCCATTAAAAAATTACATTAAAAACAAAGATACTCTATTCATTCGGATGCTGTCATGAGAAGTCGACTAATCAAGTTGCTAGCCATTAATTACAATTAAACAGTATTTAAATTGGTGTGTTACTATTCCAGGCAAATCCAGGACCCGGCGTCGCAACGGCTGACCTGGTACAAACCGCCACTGACGGTGCTCGTCATCAAGAAGGTGCACGATGCCAGTATACTGGCATCCTTCGTGCAGCTCGTTCACTGGCTCGTTCATGTAAGGATATTTTTAGTGTCTGTTTCCACTTAGAGTGTAGTATTGTGACTCTACCTTCGCTCATCTCTTGTACAAACTCTACGTTGCGACGAGGTAGCGAAATTTCAAACATACAGGTTCAGGTCCACGTAAACGCGGACGCGGTGAGCTAATTACAGTCGACAGACACAATTTATAGAAGACAATTTCAAATGTAATTATAAACACACACTTAATGCTTTAGGAATGCCTAAAAGTTAAACTCCAAATTATTGCATTCATATTTTTTTCTTTAAGATATTTATCTGAAATAGGTTGCCAGTCACAATTTATTAATTAATGTTCAGTTGATTATAAGTATAAATTAAAGGCAATGTCATGAATCAAGATAACTACAAAGGGAAAGGTCGATGACCAGCCGTCACCGCAGACCGCATGTCTATTAGCAGACCACAGTGAATCTAGACCAATCTAAATCTAACGCCTATGTGTCATTTGAACGACCTCTGTTGTAATTACTGATGAAAATAAATCATGTAATTAATAACACAACACGAGCATTCGTCTCACTAATATTATAAGTGAGAATGTTTGGATGTATAGATGGATGGAAGTTATTAAAATGTATCCGTAGAAGGCTCAACGGAATTCGATTAAAATTATCATAGATGTACAACATAGTCTGGTAGAACGCATAAGTTATTATATTTTTTTTTATAATTGTAGCCGAAGAAGTCGCGGGCGAGCAACTGTATAAATAAATTAATAAATTAAGTAGACACCATTGCGGAGTCAGTCGACATGTCAAGGTGCCCTGCACAAAACGTAGATAATATACGTATCATTTTGTGTGAAAATAAAATAAATTCTATTTTTATATCACAAAAAGTTTTTAAGTGGCTCATAATCTCAGCGCACGTTAAGACCGGGATAAGATCTCGTTGACATTCTAACCTACATTTAAGTCAAGTTGTGGCAACGATTCCGTCATGTCTAAAGTTTTAATTATGTAGTATAGCTATCGCCTGCGGTTCCGTCCCTGTGGAATTTAAAAAAAAAACTTAAAAAGTAACCTAAGTGTTTTCCCAGACTATGTTTTATATCTATGCCAAATTACAACGAGATCCGTTTAGTCGTTGTGTAGTTACCTTCTAATAAACATCCATTCGATCATCGATCTAAAATTTCGTATTTATAATATTAGTAGGATTAGAAATTCCCGTCATCGTATAATCAGACCAGGTCTTCTGTGGATCCCAGAGATTCCTGGACTAATTTGTAATCACAAATATTTTTAACCTATTTTTATTTATGCTATGGTTGAAATGTTCTAGGACAAAAGTATGGTAGTGTTCGTGGAGGCGGCGGTTCTAGATGACACATTATTGGCTGAGTACGGAGACTTCGCGTCAGTACGGGAGCGGCTGATGACATTCCGCGCTGGCACTGACGACCTCACTGACAAAATCGACTTCATCATCTGCCTCGGAGGTGATGGCACGCTGCTGCATGCTAGCTCACTCTTTCAGGTTAGCTGACATTTCAAATATGAAGGATAGAACAAGATGGCCGACAAATCTGTCAAAAATCAGTATTGGATTTTACGTTTCAAAAAAAAAATTTCTATTCAATTATAGAAATTAAAATAAAAAAATAAAAAAAATTCTAATTAAGCTATGACGTTATAGTTTCATTTTTTTCTGTTCATTTTGAGTTTCGAATAATGTGTATGAAATATTATATAGACATCCTTTTCATTCCCTTTGGAGAAACAGAGACAACAACATTGGGTTAATGACCTCCCAGTTGTCATATTTAATTATTTCTGTTAGTATTGTTCTATGTAAGGAGTAAGAACAAAGAGCAGTTGTACTTGTCTATACAATTGCTACTGACCTATTGTAAGGTAGAGAATTTAACTCATTTCTTACTCTAATATATTTGAAATTTATTTATATGGGTTTCTACTTCCAAATAGCTGTAAAAAAACTTTATCGTGCCATTATAAAATTCATTCAATTAAAAAAAAAAATTGTCAAAATAATTTGAAATCAGAACATCGACAGTTAAAATTACGGTAATATTTATATAAATTCTACAAATATGGGATTTAATTATCGCATTTATGGAAAAAAAAATAAAATATTCATACAGTTTTTGTTTATTTGTAAGATAACTCAGTGTAAGCCAGTGCTATGATAATTTAAAAGCAAAAAGTTGCAATATTTTTATTTTCTTTTCAGCAATCCGTCCCTCCAGTGATGGCTTTCCACCTGGGTTCTCTCGGGTTTCTGACGCCTTTCGAATTCAACAATTTCCAAGACCAAGTTATGAATGTGCTAGAAGGTATATTGATTTCATATTTATTTTTTACTTTTATGTGGCAATGATTTGATTTCTTTATTGATTCTTGTATTCACATCTTTATATATAAAAGTTGTTTTAAAATTTAAATACATTACGTTTTTTTACGTAGCTTTCAAATATGTTGGTGGCTCAAAGGCCCAAGGTCAACGTCATGTTGCGCAGAACGCTTCCCCCGCATCCCGCTGCACCTAAAATAGTGTTGTTCGCAGCAACTAAGATAGTCTCTAAACTATTTATTCATATGTTCCTTTTTGACCTCTTGCTCCCTAAACAAATGAACCGATTATGACGAGTGAAGTTTCATACGATTCGTATTATTCTTCTGAGTGTTATAAACATATAAAACATACATTTAGTTGGGTTTTTGTGTTTTTATTAACAAATAGTGTTTAATACCAGGTCATGCCGCATTAACGTTGCGGTCACGTTTGCAATGCGTGGTGCTGCGGAAGACGAGTAGCGAAGATAAGAATAAGAAGAAGCCGACCACTATCTTGGTGCTGAACGAGGTGGTGGTCGACCGCGGACCCTCACCATACCTCTCCAACATCGATCTGTTCCTCGACGGCAAACATATCACCTCTGTACAGGGCGACGGTAATATTTTTTTTTAATTTAAATATAAAACATCCATCCATCCATCTAAAAATTCGCATTTATAATATTAGTAATAGATATATGATAGTTAATTTAATTTTGCAGGTCTGATAGTATCAACACCGACGGGCAGTACGGCATACGCGGTGGCTGCCGGCGCCAGCATGATACATCCCTCTGTACCCGCCATCATGGTGACCCCCATCTGCCCACACTCACTCTCCTTCCGACCCATTGTGGTACCCGCTGGAGTAGAACTCAAGGTAACTATGGTCTCTAGTGTCTGGTCCCAAATCAATTTATCAATTAGATATATTAATATGTCTCCTCAAAATTATATTTTAATAAGTAGATATAATACTCAAAACTTACATAAAATCCATCTTACATAATTTTGTTGAATCAGTCTAGTTGCACTATAAAAAATTATAATAATATTCCGTGATGACCACTTCCTTAAAAATGACCACCAAGATATAAGTTTGGAAGGTAAACTTATGGGTAGAAAAGATGGATAAAATATGAAAAACTCAATAGTTCACTAGATGTTAATATAAATATCACTCATCACAGATTTTCAGAGGATAACGTTAATGAAACTAATATTATAGATAGCATTGTCACCGGAGGCGCGAAACGCGATGTGGGTGTCATTCGACGGCCGCAACCGACAAGCCTTGCAGCACGGAGATAGGTATATGAAGTCACGCAGACCTCAACGCTCTGCTCTAACGAACGCCACTAATGCTTTTATGTATATTATCTGTGCCTTTTCACATATTTTTATCTATACTAATTATGACATTTGACGTTTGTAACTGTCAAATACAATTTTGACATTTGTCTATTAGAGAACAGAATTGCTTAGTTTACATTTATAAAAACATGTGAAGAGGTTTTATATGTAAGTATTGTTAGTTTTAGTGTAGATAAAAAATCCGGTTTGAATAGATAGTAGATGAAGTTCGCGGGATTGTTTCAGATAACTCCTAGCGTAGAGGCGCGTAATGTCGCCTGCGTTTCATTCGACGGTCGCTCGCAGTTGACGCTTAGACCAGGCGATAGGTAACCTATGAAATTTTGGTCTAAACGGGAGGTTCGATGACTAGGAAAAATGGTCCAGTCATAAACATTGTTCTTATGGTCTTTACATAAATCATTAGGTGACGGTGATATCATAAATCCTGCGGACGGATTTAAACTTCAATACAGTATCACCAGATTAGAGATTCTATTCACTATTTTAAAAAGATTAATATAAATTTATCAACATTTTAGGTTTATACGATATTAAAAAAAAAAGGTTATATCAGTGACAAAAAAAAGAAAAAAATAGTTTTGATTCAATAGTACTTTATTTAAAAAAAAAAACAAGTTTTCTATTTTACTTTTATTTACCAGAATCCATTATAACTCATGTCACCATTTCGAATTCGGAACTATTTCTACAAATATTAAACGCTTTTATTAACATCAATTAACTTTACGCGCCTTTCTACTAACATCTATATGCCAACTGCCTATAATACCGTATAATTTTTATTTTGCTTTTTTGCTTAATCTGTAATTAGCTATGAAATCTTAAATTAATTTAGAGTTTGCACAATTATTACGAATTTATTACAAATTTTATTTTTTATTTTCAATAGTAATAAAAAAATATCGTAGCATAGTGCAGGTAAAATTTATGACTTTTAACATTAATAATTAAAAAAAAAGAAGTAAATCTTTTAAACGCCTTGAGTGACATCACTACTGAAAAGTTCATCTGCAACATGCTTTCAGTGTTTTTTTTATGTTAACAACACTATTATTCCACAGCCTATACGTGACCACATCAGTATACCCTGTGCCGTCGATATGCGCACAGGATCAAATCTCCGACTGGTTCGACTCACTGGCTGAATGTCTGCACTGGAACGTACGGAAGAAGCAGAAGCAAATCGACGAGCTAAGTGACATGACTCATTCCTCCAGCGATACAATCGAGGAACTGGACGCCAACCATCACGATGACAGGCCCGCGGACACGTGACCACACCATAGACAATATTTGCATGGACGATTGATAGATTGGGGGATTTGTCTATGGCCTTAATAACGGTATAATGGCAATAATATCTATTTAATAAGACACAGCTCGAATTTGTGTCAAAAATAAATGATGCTACCTTTCAATAAAATAAGGCTCAATGGATATTAATTTCTATGGCTTTCCATGGTTAATAATTTGATTTTTATCCTATATTTATAATTGTTACTTTAAGTATCAACTAGTTAACGACGATTATGAATGAAATATAAATTTGACATCAAATTGATTCTATAATTTAGACTGCACAATTAATTTTATTATATAAAATTTAAGTTATATACTAATTTATACATAATTTTAATGCTTACGTTGTATTATCTTGATATGAAGACAAAAAGTTTAAGTTTTTAATAAAATTTCATCAAAAGAAAAATTATTTACATTTGTTTCAATCTGTTCATAATCGTCTTGATATAATAATATTTATAGTACATGTATTAAAAAGCTGTTAAATCCTGATTGGTTTTATGTCTTTGGGTGTTTGTGATTTATGGTTAAGAGAACTTTTTTATTGTTGGAATGAAATTGTACACACACCTTCTGTGTTCCCGATTTTCTTGACATTCCCTTAAAAAAATATAAGATTTTTATAATCTAAAATTGTAAGCAGACCTTATTGAAAGTCTGTGACTTATATGGATAAGGCTGAATATCCAATTTTTTAAATCGGAAAGTGGCCATAATTATTGCGTGGCAGGAATAACGAATGTCATGTGAAATATTTATGGCCGCGTGCTTAGTAAGATTGGTGAAATGTAATCTAATGTGCAAAACATTTTTGAGAAATTAAATTAATACTGAAAAAACATTTTTCGAGGTGCTTTATGGAGACCTATAGTGCCAATCAAATTTATTTCTAAGATAATATTAAATGCACAAAAATAGATATAAAAGACGTCTACTTTAAATTATAATCAAGGTTTCTCAATTTTATTGCTATTGCTAGTGTTTTAATATTTAAATAAAAGTAGCTTTTTATGAATCACATTAAAGAGAATGAGGTTTTCGTGGTTTCAAATTCCATAAAATCAGTTGTTACTAAAGTAAATGAAAAAGAGTGTTTGTTTTTTAATTGTTTGTGTTTTAAATATGTATCTTTTGAAGAATGCCTAAATGTTTGTTATAAATTATACAGATTTGACAATTTTATTTGAAGTTTTTCTTTTGCAACATAATGCCCGCCACCTCTAGTGGTTAAACAGGTAATAACTTATCAATATATAATAGCACTTAAAAATATATCCACAATTTGTTTTAACGACTTGGAGATAAGACGTAATAATGAGTAAGCACAGAAGAGAACCACAATTGCCTGACCTAATAGTTGGTCTGTTCTCAGAAGCAATTATCATGATAACGAGAATGGGACTGTATGTATCCCTATCGTAAACAAGGTTTGAATTTTTTGTATCTGTGTTGTAAAAACGCCTTTTATAAGCTATGACATTTTGTTATCTGTCTATCATTTGCTCTTTGATATTTATTATCTGTATTAAAATTTGACATTATAAATAAAATAATCTTAACCTCAACAACAATTACGGAAATTAAAAGAATAACAATAAAAATACTATAAAAAAAATGATAAAATCATCGGCATTGATAAATTTAGTTTCAAAAAGAGGTATTTGTTTGACTGCAGCAAGAGAAGGTAAACGAAATTTCCGAAAATTCGTCATCCCCAATAAAAGAGGTTCAAGAATTCACAAGGAGCAACAGATGTCTGCAAATAGAGAGCTAGAAATAGACAAGCGAGGCGTACGTGATGTTGGATATGAGTTAAATGGAAAATTCGTCAAAGTCCCTGAAATGATACCAGAAATAATTGTGCCTGATTTAACAGATTTTAAACTAAAACCATACGTTTCTTACAAAGCTGAAGATGTTATACAGAGTGAATTCACAGCAGAGCATCTTTTTAATGCAATTTACAGCAAAAAAATTGCTAAAGATTTTCAAGAAGGTAAACTAGACAGTGAGGGTCAACCACTTGAGCCATCGGAGGAAGAAAAATTGCAAGCGGAGGAAGCTGTTATAAGGGCAAAGAGAACTGGTTCAGATATATTTTAAATGTTGTATAGTTTAATTAGTATAGATATTAGGGAATGTGAATTAAATGATATTTAAAAAAATGTTTTATTATTTACCCTTATTTCACATATTACAATACATAAGGTTAAAATTGTGTTAACGTTAAAAACTGAAAACATAAACGTTTTTGAACCACATGAAACTTGGAGCATTTTATTTATTCATTCAAGAATACTAATTGCTGAAATAATTCTGAGATATGTTTGAGCTATAAATGTACATACTGATTTTTTTTAATTAAATACATATAACACTACTAAAATTAAATATCTTTTTTGCCTACTGATCATTTTATTACTTCTGTAGTTAGTTTTAATAAAATTCCTGCTTCTTATTTATGTGAAATAAGTTATTAAGTTTTCATTTATGTCACATAAAAGCTTCTTTATCCAAAACATATTTAAAATGTAACACATTGGTATTCTAATTGTAAAAATATTGTTTTTCACCTATTAAAATACTATTTATTGATGATACCGGTCTAATTAAAACACGATAGGGTATTTTTAATAGATAAGCTGTTATTGCAATGATCCACGACCCCTATACGACCCTTGTTTATCTTAAAATATTATTTCTACAACTCGTAGGTATTTTATCATTTAAACTGCAGTTATCTTTTCGCGCGGTTGTCAGGCGCGTGCACATACCCAACAAACATAAATATAATGGGTGGTAACTATTCCGCTATGGACCCGATGGACGTACCTGTCCCGGACTTAGCTAAATTATTCGAACGCGATGGATATTTAAAGCCTTACGAACGTGAAATTCGCCGGCGGTGAGTTGTTTTAATTCTATAATATTGTAGAAATTATTAATTAACTTAAATACGGCTTGTAAACTAAAAACATTTTACTTTCGTAAATTAGGTTAGGAAGTTGTGTTTACGGTGTTCGTCGCATCAAGCGCTTTAGAGCTGCCAGATGTCACTTGTTAACAGAGTAGTTATTCCTCGATTATTAACTTAACAAAAACTATGAAGTATGCAAAAAAAGTTCGAAATATTATTGGCAACGTAAAACAATGCATGAGATATATATATTTTATTAGTCGAAATATATTAAAACAGAAAATATACCTACGCGTTTAAAGCGCTTTCGTTGCTGTTGCGACACTCTCAATGTCAAAGTAAAGGTCGTTTCGTTTCATTTTTTGAAAGAACTGTTGTAGTAGAATAATAGGATTAATTTTAAATATTTAACGACTTAACGTATAACATTAACATAACAAAAAACATCACAATATATCAATTTTGTTTCACAGTAAATATTATTTTGACATTGCCACGTTTTTCAATTGATATGCATACTAATAGATTTGCTATTCATTTTCTACCATAGAAACATAGAGAAAGTGCTGAGTTATGACTTTTATGCGTTACTTAAGTTTTCCTTGTTGATTTTATGCGTCTATTGCAGAAGATAGCTTAATAATCATAACATTGACCATGACTAGTGTTCTAGGGGCAAAGTCGCGGTCTAGGGATCAAGGTTCAAACTAATAAAGAGCAAGTCAAAGATTAGGTCGGTGAACGGTTTAAAACTAAGGTTTTATTAATTCATCACTAACATAATATAGCCAAAAAGGGTACTACTATTTTTAATACTACCGTGCTAATAATGAGCGTATAAGTCACGAGTTCTTTTTTGAAAAATTAATATTCCTTGGTTTATATTATTATAACTAGTTTGTTTATGATTCTAGATATGGGTGCTTCAAGGACCTATGGGAACGCATCGAGACGTGGGATGGTGGGTTAGACGCCTTTACCACAGGTTATCGTTACTTCGGACCGCAGTTCAACTCTGACGGGTCGGTAACATGGCGGGAATGGGCACCAGGTGCTCACACGCTGCATCTGCAAGGAGAATTCAGTAAGTAGCAAACATAAAGATGACGTAAAAAATATAACGATGAGACATAAAACCTTGACAAATATTATAGTAGGAAGTGGGTGGGTCAGAAAAAACTTCTGATACCAATTTTTTTTGCCTGGATCCGCGCTTTTTAGCAGGTGACAGGTACTAAAGTCATTAGTTTTTCGTTAATCCGCATGGCGCTAGTTTTGCTAGTAAAACGTTCGTTTGTTTAAAAGAATAAAAGATAATTGTTATTATTACAGATGGCTGGAATTCAAAAAGTCATCCGTTCAAGAAGTTGGAGTATGGAAAGTGGGAACTGCATATCCCCGCAGCGGCAGGCGGCTACGCGTTGAAACATGGCAGCAGAGTCCAACTCATCGTGAACGAACATCTATACAGGGTGTCCCCCTGGGCGAACTATGTTAAACCATTTGAGGGATTTACTTATCAACAGTTTATTTACAAACCGGAACAGGTATATATGGTGTTCAATATTAAAAATACTCTAAGAGTAAACTAATGATTCTTTGGCACAAAATTAGCCGGCTATAGTTTTTAATGTTCCGTATCGATTCGAGATCTGCTTTATGGGTTTTAACTGTATGTTTTCTTTCAGCCGTACCAGTTTAAACACCCAAAAGTGGATAGACCAAAATCACTTAGAATCTACGAGAGTCACGTGGGTATCGCCACTCCAGAGGGCAGAGTAGGGACATACACTGAGTTCAAGGATAATGTGCTACCTAGAATTAAGAAACAAGGTAACAGTTACATTTTAGAGAGAAAATTGCCCTAAAAATTTCGACCTATTTGATGAATAAGATATCCTGGAATATTTTAGGATAGAAATATTATTTCTTTTAATAACTAATGCTGGATTTTCGAATTCAAAAACAGGACAGTAGTAGACATATAGAAAAAAAAATTAGATACGATTAGGGGGAACGCTGCCAGTCTCTTCGAAACCTTGCCTAAAGGGACTCCTTTTGATAATTTAGATTTAGAATGAAAGAATGAATAGATTTACGACTCTTTATTAGATATTAAAATTCATCAATATAAATGTTTATTATTGTTTATAGGTTACAATGCAATACAATTAATGGCTATAATGGAGCACGCGTACTACGCTTCCTTTGGATATCAAGTGACCAGTTTCTTCGCTGCGAGCAGGTATAATAAATAATAATATTTATAAAGAAAGTATAGGAAGGGAGAAGGGTATGCAATTTGTTGAAGGAGGCGACCCATAAGGGGAAAAACTCTTTTTGTGTACCTACTTCTACGTCGATTAAATGTGGGCAACGCATCTACAGTTGTGAATGTCTGTGGGTAACAGTACCTTCATCATTTGCAAAAATATTAAAAAAAAACAAACAAAGGCTTTTGTCACATTCTGGTTTAAAAAAAAACTTTTTTGACATTTCCAGTCGTTACGGCACGCCATGCGAGCTGAAGCAACTGATCGACCGCGCGCACGAGATGGGTCTGTACGTGTTGTTGGACGTGGTGCACTCGCACGCATCCAAGAACACGCTGGACGGCCTCAACGAGTTCGACGGCACTAACGCGTGCTACTTCCACGACGGCCCGCGCGGCACTCACACGCTGTGGGACAGCAGACTGTTTAATTATTCTGAGTAAGTAAATTAAAAAAAAACATATGTACATAAGATCTTTTTTAACCATAATATTGTCTATTTTAACATTAAATGCCACAACAATTTTTAAATATTGTACAATCGGTGCAACTGAATGTGTTAAGATGATAGGTTTTCAAATATTGACGCGTCAAGGTCACCGGCGCGCTGCGTAGTGCCCCCCGCATTCCAATACACCTAAATTTGTGTTTTTTGCATAGATTCCCGCGAAGTTAAGAACTGCTGAAAACAATATTAAGAAAATGATGATTATGCTTAACTTATTTACAGAACTGAGGTGCTAAGGTTCCTGCTGTCGAATCTACGGTGGTATCAAGAGGAGTACCAGTTTGATGGATTCAGGTAAGCATCAATAATAATCTACGAATAATAGAATAACATTTGTAGTTTTAAGAATAAGGCATATGAACTTAAAATTAAGTCGTATGTTAAATGCACGGATATAAAAAGACTGGCTATAAGACGTAATATATTGTGCCTATTTGATTTTCGCCATTTTGGTGCTGTGGTGTGGATTCGAAGTAATAATATACATAGACCTAACTGACATGTAACATCAACATGCGCGTTTAATTCCGAAAGAAGCGAAAAATTAGGAATTAAATTAGAAATAAACATCAAGTTCATTTGGAATTTCGTGAAGATTTATCAAATATTGATTTCCTGTGGACAGATTCGACGGCGTGACATCAATGTTGTACCACAGCCGCGGCATCGGGCAGGGCTTCTCCGGTCACTACGACGAGTACTACGGCCTCAATGTCGACACTGAGGCCCTCGTCTATCTCATGCTGGCCAACGAGCTCGTGCACAAGCTCGACCACAGAGCTATTACTATTGCTGAAGTTAGTTTACAGTTTTGTTATACCTTTCATTTACCTTTTGTATTAAGTGAAAACGCCAGCACCACATTTTAAGTATAAACATGCGCGTAGCCAGGGGTGGCAATGGGTGCTGCCACCCCCCCCCCCCTCCACTAAATAATCCAATAAATATAAAATAGATGTATAAACAACTTCAAAATACAAACTAAACACATATTTACAACTGCTATTGATCCAGACAGATAACTCAAAAACTACTTTTCAGTTTATGCCATTCCCTAGCTAATAACGTTACCTTTGGAATTTTTTTTTTCTCTTAAAATAAAGAGTTGGTTGAGCTAGCTCTACTATTTTATTAATTACCGCGTTATACAGGATGTATCAGGCATGCCGGCGTCAGGTCGGCCTGTGCGCGAAGGGGGCACCGGGTTCGACTATCGACTGGGCATGGCCATACCCGACATGTGGATCAAGCTGCTGAAGGAGCAGCGCGACGAGGACTGGACGATGGGCCACATCGTGCACACGCTCACCAATCGCCGCTGGATGGAGGGTACCGTCGCATACGCAGAGAGCCATGATCAGGTTTCATATTTCTTCTAATCTGTTCTAATATTGAGGAAGGTTAACTTTGAAAATGTATGCCGCTAGTGTGTTGTAATTTTAACAGAGTTACGTGACTGTAATTTGTAAACCTGTAACGCCCATTTCTGTCCAGTGCCCAGGGCGTTCGCCCAACCGCGCCATAACCTAACACTGGTACTGTCTTTTAATAACAAAAAATTACATCGAATCCCACACACTATTGTCATTGGTTGGAGTTATGACTTCTATGAAGCAAATGTAATTTAGCCTACAAGTTAGGTTATAATTAAGTTTGTAATTTTGATGATTAGTATGCATAAATGTAAATGTCAGGCGCTGGTTGGCGACAAGACGATAGCGTTCTGGTTAATGGACGCGGCGATGTACAGCCACATGAGTACACTGAGCGAGCCCAGCGCGGTGGTGGAGCGCGGCCTCGCCCTGCACTGTATGATACGACTCATCACACACGCGCTCGGCGGAGAGGCCTACCTAAACTTTATAGGTTTGAACTATTATAAATTATTATATACGCTAAAACAAAACCATAGATTTATTAAAAAGATTTCTTAATACTAACAAAATAATGAAATAATCGTTTTTATTAAGGACATTCTTTTAACTTTTCCAAATAACCTCAAAGCTTATGCGTAATGTGTAAATGATTGGAACTTACATTGGCGTTTAAACTAAGCCAAAAATGTGTATACAAACTATCCCTGAAACAAGATGGGCGAGAATATCTTTGGAAAAATAAAACATGAGTAAGAAAAAAAAGATTAACCAATGTGTATCATGCAGGTAATGAATTCGGTCACCCCGAATGGCTGGACTTCCCGCGCGCGGGCAACAACTCCTCGTACCACTATGCACGCCGCCAGTGGAACCTGGTGGACGATGACCTCCTTAAATACAAGTTCCTGAACGAATTCGACCGCGACATGAACATGCTCGAGGAGAAACATGGCTGGCTCAGATCTGATCCGGTAAGTATCATAAGGGTTCTTGTAGACACGAAACAACAGAAGATAATTCGGCTGCGTGTATGTCCTACTACCCTTCCCACCTTTTTTAATTAGAACAGGAAGGGAAAGGATGGGAAGGGAAGGTTGAATCTATGAATTTTCTTATGTATTAAGGGTATTGCTTGTTTTTTTTCACAGGGTTTCGTATCATGCAAACACGAAGGTGACAAAGTAATTGCATTTGAAAGAGCTGGTCTTTTGTTTGTCTTCAATTTCCATCCGTCGCAGAGTTTCACAGACTACAGAGTCGGTGTAGATGTGCCAGGGAAATATCAAGCGGTGCTATGTTCAGATAGTAAGAAGTACGGTGGATTTGGACGGATAGAACCTGAAGGAGAATTTCATTTAACACAGAATGTACCTTGGGGCAACCGTAATGATTCAATACAGGTAAAAAAACTTGAAGAAAGCAATTTAAAAATTATCAAATAAAACTTCAAAAATTATATTTTAATAAAAATTTATTATCTGTTTCAGGTTTACATACCCTGCCGTACAGCTATTGTCTATGCTAGAAGTGATTAATTTTTTTTTATAAACTGCCAGTAATATGTTTGTCACATTTTTGCTCAATATTATTTGCTATAATTGTGCTTGCCATATAAAAGTGTAGGTGTTACTTATTTATACACATTTTCATCTATTTAACACAAAAATGTATTAAAACTTGTTAAAAAATAAAGTATATCTGTTTATCAAAAAAACTTTTTTTAAGATGGTATACCAATTAGTAGGTTGTTCTTAGGGGTACAAGATAAAGGTGTGAGTCTTGACATTGTAACGCTATAACCATGTTCTTCAGCAAGTCTTGCCCGGTCTGAATCAATGATGCCCATACATCTTGCTCCTCTTTCTGTCAGATGATGATCTTTGTGAGTTTGGTCAGCGGCATGGCCAATACACAAATATTGGTCTAGGTTTAGACTGTTAAATGTAGAACTTCTAGGATACACTATTCTATTATTAGTAGCATTAACTGAGCCATAGCAACATGGACATAGCACAAACTTTGCATTGGCTTTCAAACATTTGTCCAAAACTAAATCACTGGCAACCCCACAAGCATGTAAGGCAACACCAATGTTGAACTTACCAACAAAAAAGTCCAAATTACATTGGAAAAAATAAACATTCTTCAAACACATTTCATGTACTCTTTTTCTTGCTCTTAGCAATGATTGTTCTTTATTTTCAAGCAATATGATTGTGCAATTAGGTAACAAATGTGCAAGAAATATACCTAAATGTCCACTGCCACTACAAAAATCTACAATCAAATCTCCATCCTGTGCAATTTCTAAGACAGCTTGAGCTAGGTTTTCTAATTGTTGCGATTTCCTTACAATTCTTACATCTGGTAAATGTCCAGCAAATGGATTAGCACCATCAGGAACATTATTCCAAGATATAGTTGATTTATATTGAATATTGGTAACGGAAAGTTCCATGCCAATCTTGAGTGCACTTAAAGCATTTTCTATATCCAATTCTTTGGTGAACAATCTCTTTTTAGGGTTGTGTCTCTTAGGATCTGATTTATAGAGGCTCACATCATCAACAACAGGTATGCTTATATTATCTAAATTCATTGATTTTGATGAAAACTGTGGTATTATATCTAAAATATCTTTTACATCTGGTATACTTGCTATATTAACATACCATTTATATGTCAAAGGTAGAAGAGATTCAAAACAATTAGACCCTAATCTTTGGAACATAATTCTGTAACATGTCAATAAAATTAAGTCAGCTAATGTAAAGAAAGGTCCTTCAGCAAACTTATGACTTATATTTAAATCCTCTATTTTAGTTGTGCAATCTATTTCATGTGCTTTTCGGCAGTTTGATTTCCATTTTCTGGGCTTTGAAGATCTGTCTTTATTCGATGGTTCATTTAAACTGTTTGTAATTTCTTTTTTCTTATCAATTACATTTTTATTTTCTTTTTTCAATTCTCTCACTAATCTATATACATTATGCACCCTAACAGGTTTATTAAGATGATTTTCAAATCGAATTAAATTTATGGGCACTTCATTCATTTGCTCTGTGGTTACTACATCTAATACAGTCTGAATGATGTCGACTTCGCAAAATTTTGTCCATACGGATACTTCATTTGGCGCTTGCAAGCAACCTTTTCGAAAACTAAGCAATCCCTCATCATTCTCTTCGCACAATTTCTTTGTAGACCTGTGTTTGCAAATATATCTAGCAACGCTACAAAGTCCTGCCACAATAGTATCTTCGCTTTTCAATACTGGAAAATTACACGACAAAACTTGCCAAGGTATATCTTCTGTATCCAGAACCTTTAGATCTACCTCATTTAATTTAAACACTGGGGCGGAGTTTTCTGTAAATGCTTCTTTAAAAATAAAAACTACATCAAGTTCACAAGGTTTACAAAATTTAAAGATGATGTATGACACTAATGACTCGAGGGATATATCCAGTTCATTAAATTTATAGTAAACTGCTGGCTTTGTAAAAGATTCTAAGTAAATTCGGTTGTTCATTATTAATTACTTTCAAAATATTATATTTAGTATTAACATGTAGTTGTGATTAGGTTATGTTTTCATCTCAATTTTTTGACGTACCCCAACACAGACTAAAAACTGACCATGAATTTGTTATGATTGAATACTCTTTGGCTATGGGATTTATGGTTTTATGTCAATGTCAAATGTCATCTTCATGTTTACGTCAAAGTTATAGGTTAGGAAAATGTTTTCAGTTCTAAAATTTTCTTTATAGTTCGAGAAAACTTAGTGATACAGCAATATTTTATACGTCAAAAATAAACTGTTTCCAAAGCACGATGTTGGAAGTTGTAAATGGATTCCTACTTGTTTACTTTATAGTTTTGTGCTCAATCAGCGCCCTAGTCCCGACTTTAGTAAAACCTGTAAGTTAATATAATTTTACAATATTTTATATAATATTTTTAAATGAACTTTGCTATTTATTCGATATTTTTGCCTCCTAATCTATTCATTTTTTCTTTGAATTGTTTGTTGTATGTTATTAATTTTCAGATTGTAGCATGTTTCTCGGGCGCATCACATGAAGAACGAGCCGCTTGGGCTGAATTATTAAAACTAAAAGAGGCTCAAAAAGGTATATCAATGAAAGATGAGTTTGCAGCATATTCGAAATTGCAACGGAAAATCAATAAACTGGAGTCTGAATTAAAGGAAAACCGATCTTCACGGATGAGTAAGAGTTTGGCTGTAATTGGGTCAGTTCATATTGTATTACAAGTAGTTGTTGCTGTACTTATTTTGATATCTGTAATTTGGTTTAGAAGAGAGCCTATAGTAGCATTGAAGGGAGACCTTTTTCCTCTATCCACTGTACTCCAATACCCTAGTGATATGCCAAATGGTATTTCCACTCATGTGTGGGTTTTGATAACAAATTTGTCTGTTAGAACATTATTGAAACCAATTTTAAGCTAATAAAAGTACAGACAGTTTAACAAAAAGACTGATTGGAGCACATTAATACCAATTTGTAAAAATATGTAAGGGTGAATCCAGATCTGGTGATATTTCAAACTTATATATGTCCTGACCTGTATATATGACAATGCATCACTTGAGTAGCTCCCAGATGTCCATTCACTAGATTTAAATGTATTGTAAAGATGAACATGCTCATTTACTCATTTGGATTTTCATGCTGTTTCCGTTCTATGTTAAAGGGAGAATTTTGTATTTAAAATTGTTTAGTATTTATATGTAATTTATGGATTTTGAGTCATTACCAATTAATTAAATGGACGGAGGAAAAGGATATTTGTTAAAATATTTATTAGCTTTGTAATTTTTTATAAATGTAAATAAACATTTCTATGTAATTTTTTTTTTATTTTAATTTACAATTAACAACTATTTTTTTTAAATTCAAATATGATACATTTTAAGATTATTTTACTGCACTCTTCAGGCATACTATGGTCCAATCTCTTTTAAAATATCCTTTCAATGGGGAACAGGATTCCAATGTTTTATTTAAACAAATTAGGAAATGAATATTAAAACAAACATAATTTTTAAATAACTTTATTTACTAAACAAAAATTAAAGTATCTTATATTCAGTCTGATTTACATCAAAATCTGTCCTTTCAAAATATTTCAACAAACAATTTTATGTTTGTATCACATCAGAGCTCAATAGAATCCTTTCTTAAAATTATGGACGACTCAATTGTGCTCTATAATTGATTAGCAAATAAAACTGTGTTATAAAATTTAGCTTAAAGGAAAATATATATCACTAAACAATATCAGAGAAAATTAACAAAACAAAACCCAAGAAATCTAAGCAACCTTGGGGAAGCATTTAGCTTTAAGTATACCAACATAACTTATTTACAAGCGCTTTATCACAGCTTAAACTTACATCTGTGCTACAGTATTGCCATGACAACTATGAATAATAAACATCCTGTATACAACGGAATAATTGAAAAGCAATACTAAAAACTGTGACCACCCCTATCTACATGAAAACATGTTATCTTTATTTTTTCAAATAGAATGAAAAAGGAAGACAATATGTTTTTCTACATACCTTTTGACAAAATGTGCAGTATGAAAGAATAGGTTGTTGTGTTCAATTTTTGTTAAATTGACCATTAAGAGTCCAGAATAGTGACTTGAAAATCAATGTAAAATGTATGTGCACATATTAAAGAATTTAAATAAAGTATCCACTGTTACAGCTGTACAAAACAATTATACATAGATTAGACAACATAGATTTTTAATCTATGCAAAATATAGATGTTTAATCTATTTAAACATGTAAAACATAGATTAAAAAATATCAAAGAGCAAAATAGGTGAATTTTAGTCAGTGGAAATCGAAATTTATATAGAAATATCTTAATTATTGTTATAAACTTAACAAGCATAGAAAATTGTTATAAGTGCACTGGTGAAGACGCAGAATTACCAATTATTACTGAATTTTTAGATATTGATTTTCCATTTCTTACTATTTTCCTAAGAAATGTTTCTTACAAAAGAGACTAGAAAACTATGACTAAAGCGATATTTTATTATTTTCGGAGTCGTTAAATCCTGATTATTTGGCCAGCGCACATAAAAACTGTTAACCGAACAAACAATTAAAATCGGATAATATTAACATTGTAAAAATATTTTTGACATTTCTTTGTGATTATGTCAACATATTAACAACTTACAACATAAATGATACTTTTTAGAAGTTAACGATTTTTTTTTTAAATTACGGAACCATTTCAGTACTTGAACCATAAGATTCATTACATCCGAGCACCGTACATACTATATTTTTGTTAAAAATATATTCATTCGTATAAGATACTGTAGAAACTACTTTTACAAAAATACGCTGAAATAAATACACTAACAAGCTCGTTGGAAAAGAATTTTTCTCGACATTCGTAATGAAGGATTTTTTTAAAACTTCTATATTATATTCCACTTTGATTTTCTACGTGAATTAAGATGTCCAGAATATTCTAAATGTGATATAACTATGCATATCTCTTCCATACAAAAATATTTAACATTTCGAAATAATCAGTAGCGGCGTTAAGGTAGGGCGAGATGGGACGATCGCCCAGGGCACCGGCCATGAGGTGGCGCCTGTATCCCCTAAGACACCCTATCTTTGGAACATTTCCCGCGACACCAAGAAAGAGGGCGCCCAAAATCTCGCCCCGGGCGCCGGAAATGCTAAATCCGGCCCTGGAAATAGGCTATTTCTGAACTTTCCAATTTTATTTTATGATTTCCGAGTTATGTCATATACTTATTTTAAACGTATCTATTTCTACAATTTCTTTTAACAAGTTTTGCTAGAAAACGTTTATAAACTTGTCAAGATGATTTCTAAGTATTGATTTTCTGTTTTACAATGACTTATGCAACATTACAACTAAGTGTTTGCAAGCCATTTGTAAATGTTGGTTTACTATTGGGATGGGATCAAAGTATCGAGTTGTCATAGACTAAGTATTCTCATAGAAGGAACTATTGAAATGTGTTGTAAGCAGATAAACAACTGCCTCGTATGTAGACATCATGATCGCTGTGTTAGGTATTTGACGGACCAGTTGAGTTCCTAAGCCCCTGAAAAACAATAATAATATAAAAATATATTTAAAATTTGTTCTATTTTAAATTCACATATTATATTAGTAAAAGTAATATTTTGCGTCCCGGAGTCCTAATTTAGTCCTCTTTCTCTTCCCACCCTTTTTCTTATAAGGAAAGGATTGGAAGTGGAAATGGACTTTCCGGATGAGAGGATGCTTGGAAAGGGAAAATGTTTTTTTTCTGTGCATCCTCTCCTCAGTCGATTAAAGGTAGGCAATGCATACGCGGCATAGGCATAGGCAACATATGCAATTGCGTATGTCTATGGGCAATAGTCACTACGCTATTTAGCGATTTCAGGTGATCGCTCGCTCGTTTGCCACCCTATGATATAAAAAAAATTAATGGCATTGAAAATGAACCGTTTTAAAAAGTAAGGATTTTCTTTAAAATTTAATCAAATTCCACTACTGCACACATTTTTAGGAGAATTTTAGCAGTTTTGTTAAAAGAACGACAGGAATGGATGACAATATATTTTTGTAAATGTTTTGTTAATAAAAACTCAAAGTCGGACATGTGTAAAACTTTAAAAAAGTTCAATGTTACCTATATACACCGCGATAGCCCTCCTCCGCCCAGACGGTGTGCAGCGTCTGCCAGAACTTGCGGTACTTGTCGCCCTCCTCTCGCAGCCGCGTCCTTGCTACTTCTGTTATTTACATACACATTTACATAATTTAATACGATAACATTGAAGATTGTTAATCAAGATAAGGGAACATACCCATACTACGTGACCTTTTTTTTAATTTTTTTTTTAAAACTGCATTCATACTTAAATTACTAGTGAATTATCTATTATGAAAAGAACAACTAACGACTACGTGAGAAAAAACGGAGCCCCGCCCCCCGCTTCTGTGACTGACCGTAGTATTTTAAAGACTCCCCCCCCTAAACGGGTCATGTAGTATGAGTACGTTCCCTAAGGTGTGTTTCTAATCACAGACTTATTAAAACATATTTTTGTATCATCAATAACGTAGAAACGTTCCAAACTACATCCATAGACAATGAAAGACATTATAAATATTGAATTCGACAATAATCAGACACAGTGGCCCTAAAATCTATCGTAGCTAGAAACCAAGAAAAGGATCAAAATGTGTTACATCAATTTTAAAACCAAACATGAAGTCTTACCATGTGGATAAGCAATACAGGATGCGACTGTTTTAGAGAAGGCGCCTGCGCCCATGAACTCAACAAAGTCCCTAGGCGAGCGCGTGTCGCTAGGCGAGCCGTCCGAGCGCGCGGCGATCAGGCGCGCCTTCACGCCCTCGTACAGTACAAAGTGTACCACCGTCTCACTAATACCCATGTATGACGCCGTTATACCTTTGTAGAAACCTTTTATACCCTGCAACAATAAAATATCTTATTAAATTATTCAAACTTTCGTGAGACATTATAATAAACTTAAACAAATTTAAGACCTATATAACTCTAATGGAATATGTCTAAAGATAAATCTCTTTTTTTCACATAATATCATAATATATTATATATATATATTATATAATTTAAAATATACATTATTTATTGTATAATATATAACTGTACTTCTGTAGAAGCTGTGAGAGATATTTAATGTTGTACGATAAACAAACGCTCGATATAGATTTGGCCGCTTCAATGGGCGCATATCGATTGTTTGACGCCAACAGTCACGGTACAACGCACGGCCGACCTGTTATGTAGCATTCCTTCATATTCATACATGCATACAATATTTTGTGTTAAGCGATATTCCACTAAGATTTTACAGAAAAATCTCGGTCTAATAATTTAGTAATAAGTATCGGCGTTGGAATAGGGCGAGGTGGGGCAACCGCATGGGGCGTCGGGCATAAAGAGGCACTGCGGGCGCCCCTTTATATCCGACTCTGGCGCCTGCGGTGCGCCCTAAGATACCCTATCTGTGGAAGATTTTCCCTCACACAATAAATGGCGCCGCAAATATCTCGCTCAGGGCGCCGGAAATGATAAATCCGGCCCTGGTAGTAATCTAATGCCTTAATATCGTGGCTAATCTAGTTTTAGTGTGAAAATCAGCAAATATGTAAGCGATAAAAACAAACGTGGCCGCAGTAATGCGTGACCGTTGCAAAATCTTATATGTGTCGCATAAACAAAGTTGCAAACAACAAAGCAGTCAAACTTGCAAAAATCCAACATACATTCCAAGATCTGTGCTGGATAAGGTTTTCAGTTTTTTTTAGCATAATACCTGGTTTAAATTATGCCAGTACAGTAGGACAGAACGTTAGCCTGGCATGGATTGTTTTGAATCACTGGCGCCAGTTGCATGCCAGCGCACAGTATAGGGTTGCCAAATTTCCAAAGATTGACCAGAACAAGTCGTCGTCAGTGTTTCAAATCAAAAAGTACAATACTAAATAACTCTTGAATAAATCAACACTAACATTGGAGAGTAAAAAAAAACGAGATTTCAAAATATTTCCCACGAGTAGCATTGCATTTTCCCATACTTATATGCACTGTGGTGATACTGCGTACGTATTGAAAGTAGAAACATCAGCAGATTCTGCCGGTAATTTCTAAATATAAATATTTACGAAGTCGGTACCGTCTTAGCGTATATCCTCTTTATGCACTGCAACGCTGTGATGTTCTGTCCGTCCAGTTGCAGGCGGGTCTTCACGAACCAGATTGGATTCGTCATAGTACACGACATGAAACCTGCAAGAAAAAAACTTGTTATAGCCTATTCCCATACTTTTAGACCCCATTCAAAATTATACCGATTTCGGTCAATCCCCTTTTTATTAATTACGGGATTTTCGTTATCTTCGTAAATGGTTATTTAATTTAACGCATTTCTCAATTGTTATAAAGTTACATAACCTGGGTTTCCACTGCTGAAATAACAACATCATTGTGCCGGCAGTTTAAGGGTAAGGACATAACTTATTTCGTTCGTCGAATTTGCTAAGGATATAAAAATTAAGTCACCTGCAGCACTTGCTGCTGAGAGATGAACAATCGGTGTGTCCGGCGGTATATGTTGATTGAGGATCGCCTTCGCCTGGGAATACGTGCAGAAGTAAATCGCCCTAGACGGCGCCACCCCCACCAGATTAGGTCCCAGCCCTTTGAACAGCGCCCTCGGACCCTCAGTCTGGACGATGTGCCTATAAGAAAAATATCAATCACCTCTACACTCCTCATATCGTATTGTTTTAATATGCATTGACGCAAATGGGACTATCTCGCGTGATAAATAAAACTAAGTAAACAAACGTCGAATAACAACAATTGATTATTTTTAACGGTAAACGGGATATTTCCCATTTTATGGTTGAAGTCCCATATTATTGATGTAATGGAAGACCCTATTGTACTGGGTAAGTATTAATATTATAATAGATAAATTTTAAGTTAAGATATGTCTTGTTCAAAAATAAGTATGGATGGTGTTTAAGTGACGCTAATCAGCGCAATATTTGGCCGTGTCAAGAGCTTGTCCATGCGAGTCGTGAGTGATGCGGGGCGTTTGTTATCTATTAGCGAGTCAGTGTGATAACAGAGCTAGTTACAACCGGTTCTAGGCCCTAGATTATCTCATTGCTTTTGCTTGGATACCGAGACATATCTGAGAAGTCACGGAAACCTTAAGGGCTGTTATTCTTTATTAAAGATTTTATAATGGTACAAATAAATAATGTATTATAGTTAATTATTCTTATTTCTTTTAAATGGATTTGACAAAATAATAAAGAGAAACTATTGAACTAGAAAGCATAAGCAAGGCACTAAAAAGACAACAAGCGTATACCAATTATTTAACGAGTTATAATTGTACTGAAGATGCTCTATCAAGTCATTAATAGAGCTTCATCCTGCAATTAGCTCGAAGATTCATAGTTTAATTATCGCTGGTAATAAAATCGATCAAGACATTGTCGTTTTGTCTTACGTCAAAACAACGTCTAATATCCGGCATTATGACTTTAAGAACAAAGGTAATCTTCTGGCCGAAGTACACTGTACTATATAACAGTCGACCCAACCCACGAAAACAATTTTATCTGTAATCATGGGTTTGAGATCAAAATTTGAAACATGTTATCCGTGTTATAAAATGCCAGGAATGACGATATGTGTTACATTTTGGCCTCGGAAACCCACGGTAAGTAAGGTGCACTTATTCTCTTAAAAGATGTAACTCATTTCGTCAGATGTATAGATTTTTCTAATACTATGTTTAACCTATAATTCGAAGGTTATTTTCTTGTAGTATAGTATTTAACACATGCTTTTCTTGTGACGAGTAGATGTCTAAGCACGCGGTGGCACACAGCCAACATGTCAATTGACACAGACGCACATTAGTGATGTCCGTAAGTGAACAACTTATGTATATATATTTGAACTGTTACTATGTGATAGTTACTGTACGTGTTATTCCGGTAATAGCTATTTATAGATTTAGAGAAAGTCATAGTAACAGATTAGAAAGGGCAACACTATTGTCTGTCTCAACGATCGCTAGAAGTTAGGTGTTTTAGTTATTAACGTATTAAATATAGGTTAATAGATATTTATAAATATTTTTTATGTTTTACATGCCTGTAACTCAACAAGTTCTTTTTGAAATTCATTACAAAAGTTACGAAATATAAAACATCTTAATCTCTGATAATGTCTTAAATGATTCCAAAATCATTTTTATGAATAAGGAAAAAGAAATAGTGCAATGTAAATATATATTTAAAAGAAATTTATTAAAAACTCTCCCCTTTACGATTGATAAACAGGTTGGTTATTTTTAGCGTGTTTGTAGGACAACACGCTGTTTTGCACGACTCCATTTTTTCGTTCCCCAGTGCTCTGAATAATATAAAAATATCGATAGTTTTAAAACGATAATAAAAGTAAATTTAAAAACATATTTGTGTTCACAATCTATAGTTAAACAAGGATATCTGTCGGTTGTCATAATATATATAAAACGTATATGTCCTAAGTAGGTACAGTACAAAGGGAATCTTGTGACATTTTTTGAAGTTAAGAGAGCCGTCATAATTTAGTTTGGCTTATGGCCGCCGCTTCAAATCACCATGTCGGTGTATAAGTCAAGCATAACAATTACTAGTCTACAGTCGAGTAAATAAAGAACCTATTCACTAAATACGATATGACCTAAGAGCAACTTGAACGACGGTAACCAATTAGAACAAAACCAATGCAATTAATGTATAATAAGAGCGGACACATTTTCCTGCTAGCTAGTTACGCTTTGTTTATAAACAACACCATGAATAAGTACCATTATTAAATGCATTACATCGAAAAGAGTCACATCTCATCAAAGAGCACATAAGAGTTGTAACTGTTTTCGTCGGATTGGTCGGAATGCGTGTTGACCATTATTTAAGAACCGGTTTAAACTTTTATAACACTTTGATACGAATATTTGCAATGACTTGCGCATAATTGCTTTTAAGTAAACTTGAGCAAGGTCGTAATGATAGTTTATTTATTTGAATACGCAAAAGAAACTAAAGCAGTCAAAAAAGCCTGATTAGTTGATAATACAAGTTTAAAAACAAAACTATGGAAATACAAAACTATGGAAATATGTATGCGGCATTTACAGCATTTTGAATTAATTTCTCGGTCCTTTTACAGTTATGTTGTTACTAAACAAAGATGAAACCGGTTACGATGACAACTTTCAAACCTTTATATGTGAGCTGTCGTATTGTAAATTGAGAAACAAAATCTTACTTATCTTATCTTACCAATATTATAAATGCGAATGTTTATATGGATAGATGGACGGATGGATGGTTGAAGGGATCTCTGGAACGACTGAACTGATCTCGCTAAAATTTGGCATAGATGTAGAACATAGTCTGGAAGAACGCATAAAACACATACTTATTAAGTTTTTTTGTAATTGTCAAGAATGACGTTATGTTTTATACAAAGATTTATGATCTCAGAAACCAACGATAAGAATTGCATCTTATATAGAGATCCCATGAGATGTAACTCTTTTCGTCGGAGATCCCTTAAGACTTAAGAGAGTCACATCTCTTATGAGTCATAAAATATATGTCTGTTTTCATTGGATGTGTCGAAAAATTGCTGATGTTAACTTACCTGATGCACTGTATAAGGCTCATTCTGGAGGTGGTGCGCGCGTGTCCGGCCCTGGCGCACTGCTGCACCTGGTAATTGTACGACATCAGCATACGATCTGCTTGCTTGCTGTATGCGAACATCGCGCCCATCGTACGCCTGTAGCCCCATTTGGCCTCCTGCGTTACACGGCCAATGTTACGTTGCAAATAATTTTGCTTTATACATATTGTTAACCCCAAAATGTTAATTGCATTAGCAAGATTAAAGGAAATGTTAATATGAAATCTAATAGGTTTTATAATTTAGAAAGATATTATAACAATGATGAGATTGATTGCGAAATTTCAAGTTTAGTGTCATTTTTCAACATAACCTAAAAATAGTTTTATTGGTTGTGACCAGGGCCGGCGTTAGGGTAGAGCGTCGTTGAGCGATCGCCCAGGGCGATCGGCAGTAAGAGGCGTCATTACTCACAAACCCATGGTAAAAAAGAGGGGTAGAAAAATGGTCCAGGGCTCTAGTAGCCGGTACTATCGGTGACGGAAAAGTAAAATATTATATTATATTAATATCCATTCTTGTAGACGCCTTTTTAAATTTTGCGTTTTCAGTGAATTAATCATATTTTATCAATATAACTCAAATTCTAACGAGATGTGTCACTCTAAAAGTTTGTAGATTAACAGTTAATAAACGTATATTTGGTACACAACATCAATCAAAATCATAACAGTGGAAAACTACAGAAGCGGAGATGAGATGAAGCCTTACTTGCTAATTAAATTTTCCCATCACTACTTACTATCACAAATATAGATAAACGTGATAAGTGACTGATAGCGCAGTGCAAATAACAATATATTACAATTTATTCGTGTATTTACATAGTTATAGTGCATTATGATATTTACGAATATTCAATAAATATATGCATGTAAATATAACCATTCGTTTCGCATCTATCTTACTAATATCATAAATGCGAATGTTTGGATGGTTGGATGTTTGTTTGAACGTATCTCCGGAACGGTTCAACGGATCTTGATGAAATTTTGCATAGACGTAGAACATAGTCTGGAAGAACGCATAGGTTACTTTTTTTAATTCAGCCCGGACGGAGTAGCGGGCAAAAACTAGTTTATACATATTAATAAAATTGAATTGTCTGTATGTAATAGCGAAGTAATAATCATATTTCGTACACATAATGTATTTGTTTCTAATAACGAAAAACCAATATTTAATTAAAATATATAAAATATTGTTTTGTTCTTGTTTGTTTGTTTTCATGACCGAGGGAATTAGCGTCAATTATTACGAATATACAGTAAAATAATAATATTATAAATAGACTTCAAAACAAATGCACATCTAGAAAAGTAATGCGTTTACTCATTAGATGGCGCTATATTATTTTACGCCTTTAGTAGATAAAATCATCATCATCAACCTGCCCTTATCCCTATCGAGGGTCGGCACAGTAAGTATGTACACTTTAGTAGACAAAATCATTTTCAATATAAATATTCTGGTTCAGACAATAGGATGGTTAAGAGAAAAAAAAAGATGGTTAATAAAAGCGTATTTTCATCAGCCTGTATTAAGTATGCATATTACTTTATTATGATTTGGTTATAATTATAATGTAAAGTCTTTCGCTTTATTTGTACAGTTCTGATAAGCTATGATGTTTCTCATAAATTTTTATATCATCAAACAATTGTAAGACGTCCGGCTTTCTTTATAGCATTTGATAAGATTTTAATAGTGACCGAAAAATAAGGGTTTAACAAAAACCGAAACTTCAGAGTAATTTTTAATTTCGGGGGAAATCCGAAACATGATTTTTTGAAGCCGAAACTTATAAATGTAAAAACTTGATCTTAGTTTGGTCCAGTTATTACGACTTGCAGTGTTTACTTGAATGCTTTGGTCTATTTATAGTCAGCCTTGAAATCCTTTAGATTTATAACAATTCATCTCATGACATGACATCGTACGATGTTGGCGTTTATATGTAAAGGTAGGTTTACATTGGAGATAATTATAGACAACTTATATCACCAAGGGGAACGTCGGTGGCTCAGTGGTCAAGCACTTGACTTGCAATCTGCAGGTCCTGGGTCCAAATCCGGCCATGTACCAATGTGTTTCTCGATTTCCGATTTACATATGTACATTTATCCGACGTTCTAACGGTGAAGAACGCATAGACAACTTTTTTTTCAGTTTTTAATTACAATGAAGCTCACAGTTAGGGTAAAGAAAAAGTTATTACAAATACAAAGCAGAATACGTCAGATCATGACTCAAAACACCTAAAATTAAAAAAGTCACCCGACGTGGTACCATGTAAACGGGTCTTAACGACTGTTGATAACAAATAATGTCGTGCTGTTAAGTATTTTAAAGCATGTGCGCAATTGTTGATACGTTGATTGCTGCACTTGCGAGTAAATATCGTCAATAACTGAGACAGAGTACGTCCAAATAAACAACTCTATTGGCGATGTAATAGATGTGGGATGTGTATACTATACTACATTAAGATAGTGAATCTTTGGCACTTAGTCTATCTAAAAATAATCTTAGGTCATCCGGTGTACATCTAACTATAACTTACATATATAACTACTAATCATAGCATATTATTTAAAAATTCATATAACTTGAATATCAATATTAAAAGAATGGTAATTAACATATATTATGACATATTTGATTATTCAATTTTTTCTATCTTACTAATATTATAAATGCGAAAGTTTAAATGGATGGATGTTTGTTTAAAGCAGTGGTTCCCAAACTTATTTTGTCTACTGCCCACTTTGAGAATAAATATTTTTTAGCGCCCCCATAATAGAGTTTAAGCAATATTTTAATTCATATTAGTTGATGTTCACAAGTTGTGGTTGAGAGTCGAGAGCTCATGCAGTCGTTGTCTAAGAGGCGTTCTAGCTAATAAAAATTACAAATCACCTCCCAGGCCTCTACACAGCGCCCCCATTTTCTTTCTGGGTGTCTTACCCCCCTTGAGACCTGCAGCGCCCACAACGGGGCGTTATCGCCCACTTTGGGAAAGACTGATTTAAAGGTATCTCAAAAACGACTGCATGGATCTCACTGAAATTTAACATAGATGTAGAACAAAGTCTGGAAGAACACATAGGCTACTAATTAAGTTTTTGTTTAAGACCGCGCGGACGATGTCGCAGGCGACAACTATTATAAATAAGACGATAAGATCCATGTGATAAATTACAATCAGTGACGTATTCGGACAGTATATGGGTCAATGCCGACTGCGCAGAAATATGTATGTTCAATTGTAGAACTTGCGTACAAAAATATACGTGAACCAAGATAAATGTGCGGCCGTTACCAACAACCTTGCCTATATTTATTCGGAAGTAACTTTAAAAGTATAATGAATAAAGTTGAAATATTTAAATGCTAATAATATTCATCCTTGTAAAGCGTAACATATTTTATTAAAGCTTTTAGATAATATTCAGACTGATTTAACGAAACATATTTTTTATAACCAAAATCTCCTAATAAAACATAATATCGTCATCTCTGTCGTTATATTTGACACAATAGAAACAAAAATATGTTTTTAACAGGGATTTCTATCTCAGAAATCCACGATAACTTGTGAAGGTTTAAACATATATTAAAAGAATTTATTGAGTAATTTATGCGAGAAACTAATAAATAATTCAGACTTACAACATACAACCTTATTCGGTGAAAACTGTTAATTGCAATACAAAATAAAACACTGGCATGTTTTTAAATTGTTGTCTTAAAAAAAAAATATGCAATTTGCATTGAAATGCTGATATGACAATATTCAAGCTAACCACATATGGACAGTGAAGGCTGTTGGACACTGAACTAGTGGGAAAGGTTGTTTTTTTGTAAATAAGTATTACAGAGAACATTATTTCTACTTCAAATATTACGAGAGAGTAAAGATTTACTTTAAATCAATGAAATCAATCATAGGACAGTCACTACAAACAATACCTTTGGATTTATTTAATAAGGAACGGTAGATAATGGGCATATACAAAGTTATAAATCACACAAAATGTATGCTGTAGGTAACAAAATGTTTCCTTGTCAGATTTTGAGATGTCACGTGTGACTGTACACCGTGGGTTTCCATTGCTACACTAATATATTATAGTTTTTAGGTTTCCGTACCTCATAGGAAAAAAACGGAACCCTTATATCACTTTATTGTCGGTCGGTCCTTCTGTCAAGACCTTTTTTTTTCAGAAATGAAGAGACATGCTTCTGCACAATTTTGGCAATGGAAACTAGTAAGTATATATGGGAAGATTTCCGCAGCCTCTGCTTTTCTCTCTAAATAAATTTTCTCTAGGTTCTTGATCGAAGGGTGATTGGAAATTTTATGTCTTAATCTTACTAATATTACAAATGCGATTGTTCAGATCGATGTATGGATGTTATTATATCTCTAGAACATAGTCTGGAAGAACTCATAGACGACTTATTATTATTTTTTAATTCCTAGTATAATACTAACGAAATCGCGGGCAAAAGCAAGTCGGGAATAAAACTACGTGAAAAATCCAAAAATAAACAATGATATCGCACTATAGTTTATTATAAAATTAACGAAAATTAATGCACAAATTGTCCCATTTATAAATATATTATTCTGGACAATTCGGTGCAGAAACAAATATGACTAAGATGACAAAACAACAACCAAAAATACGGCAAAGCAAAGTATTAAAATACGCATCAAATGAAATGTCCAATCGTATGTTTACTGCACTTTGATTCAGAGTTATAAATACGCCTTGATCCATTTACTGTTCATATGAATATCACACGATGATCTTATAAGATCGAAATGCTACAAACCTGGTATGTTTTAATAATAATTCAACGTAAAAATTTAATATTTTCATTAAATCACTTTGAACACTTTCAATAATCAAATCGAGACAGACTTGACAGATTATAAATGAAAATAAAAAAAAAATATACATTCAAATTCGATAAAATCTACAGTAAATCCGGGAAAATAATCAAGATATAAACTAACTAATGTTCAAAAAACAACAAAAGAGAAAACAATAATTTTGGCGACAGTATGGTTTGGATATCTGCCAATTACTAGCTCAATTGACTTTTGATGTTAAGTAAACATATATCTACTATAACTACATAACATAGTTATATTTATAAGATAAGGGAGTAAAATAATCACTTAAGTAAAGATGACTTGAACATCCACAAAACATACACAACTGTGGTTATTGTATCTACAACTTTTTTTAAATCAGTCAATACTCTATATCTCGTTCTATAATCTGTGACATGTTTTATGTAAATATTTCGGCAGTGCCAACTTTATAAAAATAAACAACAAGCTGTTTCACTGACAGATTAAGGAAACTATACTTCACAGGTTCAAACCTGGTCTTTGAATTCCATTAAGTAACAAATAAAGACTTTAATGTGAATTTTATATAACTTTGCAGATATTATGTAATAAAATATCTTCAATGTTATCTTTCACATGTGCTGTATGATAAAACTAGTGAAATAAATATTCTCAATATTTTAAATTTAATTATAAAGTTAAAATATGAACTTGAATACAAACCACAAAGTTCACAATCAATGTGTTAAAATTTTTTGTCTTCGAACTTTCAAAACATTTTTTGTATATCAAGAAAAAAATCCATTGTTTTAATTTTCATAGAGAATTAAAAAAATAAACAATAGATTTCAAGGACTAATTGGTTATAAATTATAATTCAATTACAAGCTATCTCATCTTCACCCGTGCAGAATTAAAAAAAAAACTTAGCAAGTAGCCATGTGTTCTGACATAACTTTTATTCAATTTTAAAACTGATGTATAAGAGCACAAATAAAAATGTTAAGATAATGTTGGCTATACATTTAGATATGACATAAATTCAGTAAACGCTCTGTTTAAACATTGCCGATATTCAGATAACACCTTATTTACTAATTTAAAAATAGAATGGTAAGAATATTTTATTTTTAATTATAATTAGAGTATTATGTAATATGATTTACAGCTTATTTAAAATAAATCTTATTGAGTCTCATAGCCTATAAAATTAAATAGAAGGGACTATAAAAACATTAATAAAAAGTAGAAACACCCTTGTTATTTTTTGTACACTATTATTACTCTTTAGAAATGATAAATTATTACTAATATTTTTAATATCACAATATTTAGAGTTCATTTGTTAATGGTATATTTTAGTTTTGTGGATTTTTTTAGAAATAAAAAACTTCTTGTACTTTCATCTAATAAAAGCTAAAAGTTGACAAGCATTTAACACTTTATGGGGAAATATGATTTATTGTGTTCTATTATAAAGGATGTTATTAAATATATGTTTTATCATTTATGTAATGATATAGGAATGTATTTTATCACAATAAAAATACGATAAAATATTATTAGGGGTAATCACTAGGTAGAGATAAAAACTATCAAAAATAAATGAACAGCGATATTCATACTTGAGATATTTTCCAACAAAGTTTACTATAGAATGAAATTTTTAAGAGATTTTTCCAATTGCCAGTGATATTATATAATATGTACACTGTATACATCTACATATAAATATCAATTGCTGTTCGTTAGTCTCGCTAAAACTCGAGAACAACTTAACAGATTTATTTTATCTTGGTCTTGAAATGTTCTTGGGGGAAGGTTTAAAGGGTGAGAAAAATCTGAATAGCCGGGAGCTAGTTATTTTTTTTTAATTACACGCGGACGGAGTCGCAGGCGACAGCTAGTATGAGATATATATTTTTCTAACTGATTAGGGTAAACAATTAATTTTGTTCAATGTTTTAGGTTATGCTGTTAAATGTGTTTAAATAATTATTTCTCATCATTGTTACAATAAAAAAAGAAACCAAATAAATACAGATTGTGGTCATTTGTGATTCTAAAGTGTAAGAAAAACTATTAAAATTTACCTGATGTTTAGGTATCTTTGAGCATACTTTTCTTGTGCTGGCAGTACCAGAATGTGACGGAGGCTGTGGTATGCCTACACCCTTAGAGGACTGCAGACGAGTCTTCACCACTTCAAGAGGACATGTAACTACTGCCCCGGCAGTTCCCGCCAATCTGTGAATATTAATTATATCAATAAAAATATTCATAGACAACATAATTCTTTCTCAGATATAGGTTATGTCCAGAATGCTTACTCCAGTACAGCAGGACAGTAGCACTCGCCTGGCATGGACTGTTTCACTTGACTGGTACCAATAAGTGTTTACATTAAGTCTGTATGCCTGATTTTGAGTTCTACCATCCTACTATTTTGGTATAAGGTGAGCCAGGCAAAATGTTTGTGGGTGTGCACTATCAAAACATATGTACAAATACATATTGTTATTTGTGTCATTCCTTTGTGTGCGTCAGCCGATGGCCAACCTTCAGTAATGGAGAAGCATTAGAAAAATATTTGCTTAACATCTTTGATGTGATTTAAATTTTGTGCACTGTTTATCCATGGTTGCAAATCCAAAAGATAGTAAATTTACTTAAAAAATCTTGATGATTTATAGATAAGTTTGTAACCAACAAAACCTGCTTCATATTCATTATACTATTAATGTTATAAAATTAAAACTTTATTAATGAAAATTTTGTTAAACTATGTAATTTACTTAATTTCAGTTTAATTTAATCACATAACTTATCAAAATCAACTTTTCCCATATAAAAAGTTACTTTATAAAATATTTTAAATTGTATAATTTATTAAACAATACATTGGCTTCACAACCATTTAAATTAAAATTATTAAAAATACAAGATTTCTGTATAAACTCAATGATAACACTCTGGTAATTTTGGAAACTATTTTATAACCTGCTGTTCATATTTGGGCTTGTTATTAAATGTTTTCCATTCTAAACATAGGCAGCTAGTGTACGGTTGATTAAATTTTGTTAATATGAAGTAGAAATCTATGTTTTTTTTAAATATCATAGCATAGTATTTTTGAGTAAAGGTATATACAAGAAGTTATTAAAATTCTGCACTACTGATATCTAATCATATAAGATTTTTATCCAGTAAAAAGCCTATAACGGCCAACTAGGTCACTATTATGTAAATAATATTGTGAAGACGTGATAATATAGCGACTGCCGACTCAACAAAAATGCTTAGCCGATACCATTGAATTAACATAAATATGCAAGCAGGAATTTGCAAAATCAGAAATGCGAAAGAATTGTTTATATCTCTTCTCTTATATGTCGTATCAAACACATTATGCGCATTAGGCCATACGTTGATCAAGAATGCAATATTGTGCAAATATGATATTAAAACTTACCCCCCAGCCACAAGATGTATCGCAGTATCCCTCTGAGACATTTTAGCGCCACAAGAGTGATAACATGACTGCAAATTGCAAAATCTATAAATAAACAAATGCACCACTACAACACTAATATATTCAATCAAGTAGCAACGATCGCACAGTGTTTGTTGTTGCAAGTACGCAATATAGCAAGAAAAAAAACTCTATTTTGATAAAGAATGTTTACAACATTGCATTTACATTACACAAAAACTGATATTCTTTTACATTTCAAATATATTTTAGAGTCAGCAAGAAAGAAATCTTCACAACACCGCCGCACTGGAAATTCATCTGCGTCGTCGTAACAATTTACGCACACAACTGTCATAATATATAAACTATATTGCAAAGTGCACACTAGTAAAACTAAGCGCAGAGTTCACGTCGTTCACGTGCGTAATCACACGTAGTTTCTCTATGTAGTTTATGCAGTGGTAGGAAATAACACCTTATCTCTGCGGTATACAAGTTAATACTGCTAAACACTTGTAGATGAACTGTAAACATCAGTATTTTTAAGTCGAATATGTGCGGATTTACTTTCCACATTATTGGAATACTCAAAAGCTTTAATAGTTTCTAGTATTAAATCACAGCAAAGTAAAAAAATAATAAAGGAAACGTGTGAAAGTGTTTGAATCCATTTTTTTATCATGGACCAGAGACTATTGTCTATTGACTGAGTGACATAAACATAATATGTCAAACTCAAAGAAAATGTCTTTGTCACTTTGTGACAGTGACATTTTCGCTCATTTTTTATATTTTCATTTGACTTCGCTTCGACTTCGATTTCGATTGCATAACGTGAACATTGAAGCAAATATATCTTGCACCGGCAGTTACCTTAGCATTTCATATTTGTATCATTCGATATATATAGTTGCAAGATGTTGGCGACACGCAATTTTGGAAACCTAATGTATAATTTTCTCCTTATACGTATTTTTCAGTAATAAATTAGAAATATAATTAAATTAGGTTTGATTCTTCTCAATTTAGTTGTTGATACGTTTTCTTAATTGTTATTATTTCCATTACAGTCGCGCTGCGGGTGCTACCCGCCTAAAACATACATTACCGGAGCTGCCTTATGAATACAGTGCTTTGGAACCGGTGATCAGCCGGGAAATTATGAGTCTTCATCACAGCAAGCACCATGCTACCTACATAAATAACTTAAACGCAGCAGAAGAAAAACTTGTTCAAGCTCAAACAAAAGGTAAGTTTTACGTTTTCGATTATTGCAAGTATTCAATACTTCAAGTATTTTTTAGACAATTTCTTTTCATTTGACAGCAGCAGAAACAAGCACAATGATATCACTTTTAAGTGCTGTAAAGTTTAATGGAGGAGGGCATGTAAACCATTCAATACTGTGGTGCAATCTTTCTCCTTGCAAGACAGAACCATCCTGTGCCTTTTTGAAAGCTGTTAAGCAGTATATATTTATATTATCCTATGTACAAGTATTATTCTCATGTAGAATTACTTATCACCATATATATAGTTCATACAGCTGTAATTTGTAAAAGTAACTAAGTAACATAGTTAATATCCAGAGGCAGTATATATAGTAATATGTATGTAAATTAATTTAAAACTTTTTAGGTGACATTGACACTGTAATCAGTTTGGCACCTGCCTTGAAATTTAATGGTGGTGGTCACATCAACCACACCATTTTCTGGCAGAATCTTTCTCCAAAGTCCAGTAAACCCTCTGATGTGCTCATCAAAGCAATTGAAAAGTAATTATATTATTTTATATTACAAAATTAAATAATTTGAACACCATGATTTTTTTAAGTTAAGTTTCATAATCTTTGGAATAAATGTCAAATGTATATAGTTGAGAAATATAGAAGTATATTTGTAGATTTAAAATCAAGTTGCTACTAATTTATACTTAAATTTAGATTTCATTATTTTAGACATTACAGTAAATTATTAAATAGCTAAAAGTTTCATCAAAAATAGTTTAATTTGTAATTAAAGTTTTTTTCAATTCATACTATTTACATATTATAATTAAAATTTTCAAGGGACTTTGGATCATTGGAGAACATGAAGAATCAACTCGCAGCAGCTTCTGTAGGTGTGCAGGGCTCCGGTTGGGGCTGGCTCGGGTATAATAAGCAAATGAAGAAATTACAGATTGCTACATGCCAAAATCAAGATCCATTGCAGGCAACTACAGGTATTGTGGCTGATTGTAATGTTACATAACACAAATTATTCAAGTTAATTTATTAAAAGTTGGTAACAATGAGGTTGAGGCTAGCGAAACAAAAAAATTGTTTGTTTTTTTGAATATTTTTTTCACAAGCTAGTATAGTTCATTTATAATGTACATAATATTATGCTTATGTATTTAAAAAAGAAATGCATAAGAAATATTGTAAGTAACAAAAACAATTTTAGTTTTAATGTTCAAGAACTAAAGAATTAAAAAAATATATAGTAATAAACAATATCTATCTATCCTGGGCATAGCATAGCTTCCCAACAGGGAAATAATTTTTTAAACCAGTTCAGTTGTTTTGGGGCTTATTTAATACCTATTCACAGGATTTCAAGCAAGCAAAAGATTTCTCAAGCATCATCTGCATGAATCGGTTTTATTTGTTGACACTTCTGAACCAACCTAAAACCTGTTTTATTGAGATGTAGTCATAAAATGATAATAATTACATAGTTTTATTGTTACTTTAAGTTTTAGGGTTTCTGGTTATTTAAAATTTCTCTAGTTTAAGAGATAAAATTCAAAAACAGTTTTTTTTTTCAGGACTCGTGCCTCTCTTTGGTATTGATGTGTGGGAACATGCTTATTACCTTCAATACAAAAACGTGCGCGCAGATTATGTAAAAGCAATATTCGATGTTGCAAACTGGCAAGATATTTCTGCCAGATATGAAAATGCTTCAAAGTGAAATCTTTATAGCAATCCCACTTCATTTAATCTCAGCATTTCGGTTTAAACCTTTAGAATTATAATTATGTATATGTGAACGACAATCACAAAGTGCTTGTTGTAGATTCCAGGAAACGCCTTATATTATGTTATCTAAGTTAATCTTAATACATGGATATTTGTAGCTTTTGTGTTTTTTTCTTGGTGTTGTTTTTATTTAATAAACACATTTCCTCGGTCTCATTTATTCTCAGGGTTCCTAACATTTAATAAACACATAAGTTGATCAAATACAACCAAGTACAACGCTGTTGGAATGAATCTCTTAATACATTATGCCAAGCCAGTAGAGCTGGCCTGACACGGACTGTTTTGGCTCACTAGCGCCAGTAAGTGTTTACATTATGATAGTTGTATGACAGCGCTACTGGTATATAAATCGGGGTTAAAAGACCGTCAGACTGAGGGAGAGTAGGGTACTATAGGACAAAAACAAAATGTCTTTTATTGTCATATTGTTTGATACACGATGGGCAGTGTTTGTACGCCAAAAAATAAAAACTATATGAAAAGACATAACGGTAAAATAAGCTTGAAATAAACGGTATTCTTGCAGGAGAATACCTGTATGTTTGTTGTTTTCCATAAAATCTTTATTAGATACCTATGGTAAGAATTTTTTGTTGAGAAATGATATATAATCAACTAAAATATAAAGATTATTTACGATGTAACATCAACTTTGATAGCATCTTTTAATGTAATTTATTAAAATGGAGAAATTTATTTTGATGAAATGAAACGTAATTTACTTGCAAAATTGCGAGATGTCAAAGTAACGTCAAATCATATTTTGATTGGCGAAGTACAGTGTCTTGGGCCAGTGATGAGAAATAAATAAATAATTATTTACTTTTGCGTTCTTGCAAAAATATTGATTTGTGCTTCTTTACCTACGAGATATTCTTCGCTCTTCTGTGAAGTCATATGTAAGTTATCCATTTATATTTAATTTCTTATAGGGCGTTTCGTGAACTTGTCGTAGTGTTATTGATTTTTCACGGAATAGTTCTAGAGCAGCTATGGATGTTTTTTTTACTGTTAAAGGCTAAAAACCCTTGGATTAAAAGTAAACGAGCTTTAATAAGGGTTTAACGATTACGTATTGATAGGCTATTGGTATAGTTCAGTTTTTTTTTTACCTTAAGAGAATATTTTGTATAACTTATTAACGATTAGTATTTATGAGGTCGAGGCTATACTTACCTAAACAAAGAGAATTAGTATATTTTCTTAGTGTGCTTTTGATGAAAATTCTTTCTATTTTATAAAAATGTGAATTACTTCAAAAGAATATAACAAGATGGGTTCTTTGGTTTTCATTATTATTAGTTCATCTATTAGCCATTTTCCAAATTTTTTATCTAAATTAATTTTGTTTAAATATGCTTTTGACTACTAACCAGACAGTGCTATTGTTCATAGCTTTAATTGTCTGAAAAAAAGTGCTGCTTACATGCATTCATTACTACTACTATACTACTACTATATATATTTGAGTCACTTTCCTAAATTCAAAGGATTTTTCAGAAAACTACAAAGATAATGGTCATCATTCCGCTATGGTCCCTACATAGAAATAAATTAATTGAAAATGAAAAAATGAAGAGTAGAGTAAATACATACTTTAAACTAGCATATTTTTCAACCATATTGCTTAATATCGTGTGGGATTGTGGCTAAGCAGTTGTTATTCATTACTAGCTGTCCACCGCAACTCCATCTGTGTGGATTAAAAAAAAACTTAGTAGCCTATGTGTTATTGCAGACTATGTGCTAAATTTATCCCAAATTTCATACAGATCTATGTAGCCATTCTAGAGATACCTAACAAACATACATTGATGATGTGAATTAGTTGCAGTCATGTCTTTGTGCTTTAAAAATAATAACTTCTTTGGATAAATTATTTTAAAAAGAATGTTATTAAATAATCAATAATTAACGAACAGTAGGGAAATATGTTATTAATGCAAGTCACTGGATTCTAATGACAGGAACATGAGTGTTATGACTATTTTTTCATAGTGTTATAATCATGGAGTACATATATGCGATGGGTATCGCAGCAAAATGGCGCCGCACGCGATTTTAACGTAGGTCAACGTACCATGGGGTGTCTATTCTATAAAGAAAATTCTATCACTGTTATGTTATTGTTACTAAATTATGTTATTGTTGGAATTTTTAATTTAGGGGTCTAAGTTTGAAGACTGAGATAATGTTAAATAAATATAAAGGCTCTTTAAACACAACTTTCTAATGGCAAAATACTTGTATAAAAACATATTGTTGTCCTGTTCATTCTCGATTTGAAAACCAACTGAAAAACAACAATTTCCTGATTGTGGCATTTTTTAACTGAATTAAAGGAATGAAAGGGATAACAATATGTTTTTGTATAAGTGAAACCAATTGAAATATCCAATTGAAACTAGCAGTATTCTTAATCGTTCACTTGTTTGCCACCTTAAGATGTAAAAACAAATGATGACGCTGATTTGTGATCAAATACTTATGTAGGATAAATGTCAACCATAGTTAGTACTATGATTACAGATTACGTAAGACAATTTTTCTTTATTTGATATCTGTACCATGTTTTCTAAAGATTCGTACTTTTTATTTTTCCTACTTAATTAAATTATTTGCATTCGTCTCGCGTTACGTCTTGAGTTCGAGACCTTTGTAATTCCGTTGTAGATTCCATTCCCGCGATACGCCCTTCTTCTCAAACTTCTATTATTCCAATCTTGATTACTATTTGCTTTAGAATTACAAGAGAACTTTACGAAATAATATAGAGAAAAAATTGATATAATATTTCTCCGTGTCGTGTATTTTCTTATGTTCTATGTATGCCTATAAAATATTTAACAAAATATTATCGATAAACTTCTTTATATAAATGCTTTTTCAAATTCTTTAAACCCGGCATCGATAAATGGGGTTATATCCTTGGCGGGTTTGTCATCGGTTGATAGCCAAATGGAGCCATTGGCACCTTCTTTGAACATCTTCAGAACACCTGCAGCAGCAGATTCAACCCTGAAACAATATCACAAAGGTATAAGTATGATTGGATGAATCAGAGCTTTACTCATGTATCAATCGGTATAATCAATGATTGCTGTTAAACTGACGCGCTATAATCACGTGACTTATCAAAAGTTACTGTCAGTTCTATACATTTTTGAAGTTCTTTATAGAATCGATTAGTAGCGAATGCACTTTATCAAGCCTCGCAGTTTTATTTAGTTACTGTAATGTTGCTCTTCGAACAGATTCTTGATTAGAATTTTTGTATGCTTTTATCATGTCACATTAAATAGTATGGAGATAATTTTATTAGTCGTTATCATGCGGTCTGCGTGAGATTTCTGTTAACGCATACTGTAGGGCCATCACACTGTTAGCGTTTTCACTAGTTGATAGCGCCATAGGTGCGGAGATAGTTTAAAGAATATATATAAGGCCAGTATGCGAGACGCAAGTCAAAAAACCTGGCTTATATCGCAGATGCGTCACTGATAATTTATGTAGCTGACTGCACTTTAAGCTATTCTGTTGCATTAATTAACTTATTTAAAAGGTGTCGCGTTAAGTTTACTTTAATATAATAAATAATTTGATTACTTCTGATGTTTCATCTCATTGCTAACAACAAGTATTTCCTCAGCTCCTATATCATCTATAGTTCTGTCTTGCAATCCTTGTAGGAGTGCAGTTTCGGTTGCTCCAAAGCAAACTGTCAGTATCCTTACGCCGGTTTTCTCAAAGAATGATCCGCCCTGGAAACAAATTAACTTTTAAAGATAGTTAAAAAGTTGCAAATTAATAAATAGAATTTGTTGTTTCTCACTTGGTAAAGTAAATTGAATATAATATGATAGTACAGAGTTTCTAATTAACATCTTAACACAAACATATTCTTATCTTTTCAACAATAGATAATTTAATCGCAAAATTAGTTGCTTGAAAATAACTTCTGAATAATATTATCAATACATATATAACAATATCGATCGAAAATGGTAATATACAGTTGAAAATTAGCACAACATCTACTAAGGTAATACATAATACTAGCGGACCCGACAGATGTTGCCCTGTCTACACGTCTTTAATTCGAATATTATTTAAAATTTGACACTGCGATGGTAGCGCCGTCTGTCGGATCCAATGTAAAACATTCCAAAATCAACAACTACTAATAAATTAAAAATTAATTAAAAAAAAACATTGTCCAGCGGACAAAATTGTGAATCTAAACCATTCCCAGATCCCCTTGAACACACACAAAAAATTTCATCATAATCGATCCAGTCGTTTGAGAGAAGTTCAGTGACATACACACTCACAGAAGAATTATATATATAAAGATTAGGCGATTAGTTGCTCGTTTGCCCCCTTCTCCTATAAAAAATAACTTACCGCAAGACTTTGACTGAAGTGAAGTACAGCCATCTTGGATCCATTGTAGATTGGGAGAAAACGGAATTTGTATAGTGCTGCAATCGATGATACATTAATGATGGTCCCTCCTACGCCTCCTTCGTCTCTTCGCATATGTTTAAGACCCTTTACTGCGCACGAGACAAGACCTTGCTGGAATTCAAATATATAGTTTAAAACATTTAAAAATTTATCATAAACATAATCATGTGGTTCATTGGAACAACCTAACATTGAATCTATACTAATATTATAAAGCCGTAGAGTATGTTTGTTTGTTTATTTAAACGCGTTAATCTCAGGAACTACAGGTCCGATTTGAAAAATTCTTTTTTTGTTGGATAGTCCATTTATAGAGGAAGGCTTTAGGCTATATAACACTACGGTGCGACCAATAGTTTTTCTTTAATTCCCCGCGGACGGAGTCGCGGGCGACAAATAGTTCTATATTGATAAAGAGAGTTTTTTTAGTTTAACATACCCAATTGACGTCACAAGCTTTCCTCCATCCAGTAGGACTGTCGACCATTATACCAGCATTATTCATAACTACATCTAACTGCTTGAAATGTCCGAGAACTTTATCAAAAGCTTCGGATACTTCTTTCTCGTCACCGACGTCACATTTAATGAATATAACTTTATTAGGATAAGTCTTGTTTAATTGTTTAGCTAGCTCCTCGCCTACGTTGACTTGCACGTCTAAAATAGCTACGGCCTGTAAAAAAGTATTATGTATTACTTAAAAAACGATTTTACTGTTATAGTAGTGTTGTGTTGTGTAGACATTTAGTGAGTGATCATCTAACTTTACATGACGGTGCTGTTTTGCTCCCTTATAGTGTAAAAAACAAAAACGAGCTGATAACCAATAGGGGGCAAAGGTCGTTTAAGTCAGTTGGCTTAAAAACAAACGTCGAATTCCAAATAATGATAATTCTGTTTTATATGTTGATGTAAAGATTTAAAGATTATGTGAACTTCACAGATTTTATTTATATAATTTATTTTTTTAAGATACTTTTCTATCAAATCAATTGAGTCAAGAAGCACTATATTAGCAGTTATTATTTCTAGATTTTTAACTTTCTATTTATTTATTATACTCAAATTATTAAGCCTTGGGAAAAGCATCCAGCAGTCTGCAGACGAAGACTGTTGATGAAAAATAACATAGAATTCATGCAATTTGTACAACGAATAATAAATAGAGGTTCCTACCTTGGCCCCTTCTCTAAGAAATGTTTCAACGCAATGCTTTCCTATACCAGAAGCACCGCCTGTCACTAAAAATGTTTTTCCTTCCGGAGATATCAGGTTAGCCATTTTCTTGTACAACAAATTATCAACTGACTATTTAAAACTAATATTCTCCTTATATACAACTGATTACTTCGTGTCTTAAGATAATAATGACGTAATATTCTGCCAAGTCATCAAAACTTTAAGTTTGATAATGATTAGAATATTTTTTTGCAAGTAAATTGTTTGTCTATCTTATCCCAGGCTTTGTTTCTACGGGGATAGGATTAGATTATGATGATTTTTCTGTATTGTGTCGTATATACGTAAGATACGAAGTACGATATCCCACGATGAGACCGCACCTGAGTGTCGGATTACATAAACTTGGCGGTGTAATCCGTATGTTTCCGTATATCTACCATAGCTAGACGGTACGTCAATTGGTCTATTCGTTCTGATTCATATGTTTAAACTACATATAATAACAAAGGATAGCGTGCGGTGTACCGTAGCTATTACCCAAATGCGTTGTCGCAGTATGAAAGTTAACTAAGATTTTTTATTTCGAATGTAGCTTCTCACATCATGGTAAAATAAGTACTCATAATTTCTTTTTTGTGTTGGGCCACCGAGGTTTCGGATGAAAGAAGATTGTATGTAGCTGAAATGCGTATGCTAAGATGGATGTGTGGTGTGACAAGGAAGGATAAAGTTAAAAATGTGTATATTAGAGGAAGTTTGAAAGTAGCGCCAGTGATCGAGAAATTGAGGAGTAAAAGATTAGCGTGGTTTGGACATGTTATGAGGAGGGATGATGATATAAGCAAAAAAGTAATGAGATTGAATTTGGATGGCTACAAGGGTAGGGGAAGACCAAAAAAAGTATGGAATGACTGTGTGAAAGAGGATATGCGTAAGAAGGGGGTAGACTCGGATATGACGGCTGATAGAGATGTATGGAGGAGTAGTACATGCTGTGCCGACCCTCGATAGGAATAAGGGCAGGTTGATGATGATGATTTGTTTTCTTAGCAAATATTTTTAGATATGTTGTTTGCTGATATAAGTTATATAACCTTATTGTGACTTATCTCGTGTATAAAATTGAAAATAACTGATTATCTATGTATGCAAGTCAAGGTTTTTTGATAGCTTCTTGATCAGGTACAAAAATATAATATTACTAATGCGAATGTTTGGATGGATGGATGTTTGTTTGAAAGTGTCTCTGGTACGGCTCAACGGATCTTGATGAAGTTTGGCATAGATGTGGAACATAGTCTACTTATTAAGTCTTTTTTATTCCGCGCGACCGGTGTCGCAGGACAACTAGTTTATATATAAAATATTAATGAAGTCTCTTAACAGTGAAAATAGGAATATTCTATATGTATAAGTTTACAAATGTCTCTTGGTCTTCGAACCAATAACGCACACATGTAAGTTTCTAAGATTGTGTCGATCTCGACCTACATTGCACATAGGTTGCAGTCAGCGTTATTCTCAGGCATTCAACGACACCCTTAACGCGACTAGACTTGTTCACGGCTTATATGTTCTTTTTTTTCAGTAAACTTTAAATCAGCCAGGTTTTAAATTGAAATGTAAAAGACGATAAAAAGGTTTTAGGCAAACTGTAATTTTAAATCTTTCTGTTATGTTTTACTGTCAGTATCTTTGACACAGCAATATTGGCCCATCTCCTCTTTCTCTGGAAAAAAACACCACTTTCCATTATACTTCGTGTACTATGACAGTAATATGCGGTTAGAAATAATCTCGTTCCTGTATGATTTTTATAAAATTTAACACCAGCGAATGTTTTCAAAGTAAGATGTGATTTTTTGTTTCAGATTGTTCGTGGTACTACATAGATCGTTGCAAAAGGTAAGTGTAATTAAGGTAATACTTCAGTTAAAGATAACTAATTAATTTTTAAGTAAAATTTAAACAATCTTGTTATAACTGTACCTCGGATGTGAAACTATGAAGTGAAATAATTAATGTTGCAACACAATTAATCCCTTTTCGGGTTAAAACTGTTTCATCGAATTGATTTCGTATTACGAGATTTATTTTCCCTTAAAATTAAATGACACAAAAATACACATCACAAATGTTTATTAGTACTTTTATTAGTTTTAGTTATTTATTAGTAGTATAATATTTATACGAAATAATATTTTAAGAATAAAAACTAGAAAAATATATTGTTCTAATTATCACTGGAATGTAAATAAGTGGCCGAGATTATGCAATTAAAGTTACTTTTAGTTGAGGTTTCTGTTACAAGAAATGTATCTAATTAGGCCAATTTTGGGCTTGCTTTATACGCAAAATATTAATTGTGTCTCTGTCTACCTTATTCTCGGAAGGATTGATAATAACAGAGAATAAACCATCTCATGTAAATACTTGATATTACTATGGGTGATTTACGTTTTCAAATTATTCAAGTCATGCGATAATATCCAACCGACCTTATAAGACACGTTCCCTATTTCAACATAAAGTTGAGAAAATGTGTCTAAATTTGTCTCGATTGCGACGTCACGTGTCCTACGAACTGAGGGGAGCACTTTAATAAAACATGTTATAAATTGCAGAGACGTATCGCTCAGTTATGATCTTTGTGCGATCGTATAAAAATAAGGGAATCGTATACTTTGCAGTTTTAGCAACCTTCAGACTGTTTTGTATGCGTTCCTTAGAGAAATGTCATACGGGAAACTATGTTATCGTCGCGCCACCAGTGTGGGATATCCTCATTAAGATTAAAATGATCCATTTAAATGAAATAAAATGCTTGTCCAAATATTCTTCACGATAAAAACATATGAAAGCAAAATATGTCTACTGTAAAAGCCAGTCAAAAGATTCGTCGTCGTTCGTAATTATCATCTCTCTGATTTTATTAAAGAAATTTTTATTTATACCCCTGGATGTAAAACGCTTATGAAATGTTTATGTTCAGGCGTAGATTAATTAATGGTATTAAACCATTACGGTGTTAAAAATTCATTAACGTAATGGAAGATGTTAAAAGGTTGCCCGGGATAAAGGATTTTATGTGCATGTGTGTGTATATATATTTTACTAAGCATAAACTGAAGTTTTTTATGCTATTTTCAAAGTATAAACGATATCAATACAATGATCGTATCAATAATTGTGAGCTAAAAAGGCTGTTATAAGTTTATTTGGTTTTATCTAATATCTAGTTATATTTATCGTTGGTTTTCACTGATGGAACACATATATAAAAACATTTCGCTATCTCAGTTTCTCAAAGAAAATGAGAGAGATAAAGTAATGTTTTTATACAAGTATCTTGACAGTGGAAATCCAAAGCAAAAATACTGTTCAATATAACTCACTTGGTCGATACCACGTAAAGTGATTTCATACAAAATAGGTCTTTTTAGATTATTTATTGAACTAGACGCAATTGTTACTGTGAAAGCTGAAAGTCTCGTCAGCATGGCGCCGTCTATTGCCATCTGTGTGTCATCTACAAGCTTAGTCATATTTCATAAATAAATTTACATTGTATTATAGAACTAACTTTCGCCCGCGACTCCGTCAGCGTGTACTTAAAACTTAATTAGTAGCCTATGCGTTCTTCCAGACTATGTTCTACATCCATGCCAAATTGAATCGAGACGCTCGCTTCCGGAAATATCTTCAAATATCGATCCATCCATCCATCTAAACATTCGCATTTATAATATTAATAAGATATCTTTATATAAAGATAAAATCAAGTAATCATAAGTTTTTTTTTATTGTTTTATCTTTCAATTTGACTTATTGTAAAATTTGATATAATTTGTAAAGAAAGTTCTGTTTAAATAACTCTTAATGGCATATTTTGTAGAACATTTCTCTTATAAAGGTCACCTATATAACGATATTTAGGTCAATGGGTCAAGGAATAAGGATAATGGACAATGGGCTGCATCGAGTTTGATGCTGCAATACTGGGGTGTGGAATTTTATACTAAGTTTTGCTCGCGACACGAAGCTTACTTCTTACTAATATTATAAATACGAATGTTTGGATGGATGGATGTTTCTTTGAAGATATCTCCAGAACGGTTGCATCTGAAATTTGGCATAGTTGAGTTTTTTTTTATTCCGCGCGGACAGAATTTTTTTTTATATCATAAGGTGGCAAACGAGCGAGCGGCCACCTGAAATCGCTGAAATAGCGAAGTGACCGTTGCCCATAGACATACGCAATTGCATATGCGTTGCCTACCTTTAATCGACGGAGGAGAGGATGCACAGAAAGAAAATATTTTCCCTTTCCGTGCATCCTCTCATCCGGAAAGTCCACTTCCACTTCCCATCCTTTCCTTATAAGAAAAAGGGTGGGAAGGAAAAGAGGACTAATTTTGGCCTCCGGGACGCACACTCATCAGACGAAACGCGGAATTGCTTCCACTTCACGCCTGTCTTCTGTGTGGTCGTGGTATTTCACCGGGCGAGCCAGGCCAGAATCGCGTGCGATAGCTAGTTAAAGATAAAAACTTAATAAGTAGCCATCCATACAGTAATTCGTATTTATAATTTTAGTAAGATAGCATTTTGTTATGAGATTAACACGTCTTAAATGGTATGCTGGTTTTACATGATTGAATTGTGATACGTGGCCCGTTATGAGAGACATTTTAACGGTAAATTATTTTTATTAATAATATTTTTCTAAACAATTTAATTTATAACAGAAGCCTTTGATTTAAAATTGCATTTTTCCACATTATTGTATCCTTTGTTTGAACTCGGTTGTTTTTCGAACATTCTCGCATACGCTATTACAAGTTTTCCAAGTGCAGACATATATGACTCACTGCTATGCAACTAACATTATAACTGTAAGTTTCCACTACAGATACACATGTATAAAAACATGTTGTTATCCAGTTATTTTGTTTAAAAAATCAGAGATAATATAATTCCTTTTTCCGCGTACTTGTCTGCATTGGAAATCCACACTTTAATAGCACTATATAGGGTAAAACGAGCAAGTTGCCACCTGAATTCGCCGAAATGGCGAAGCTATCGCTGGCCATAGACATCCGCAATTGCTGATGCGCAGCCTATCTTTAAT